TCTCCTTCCCCCCCCCCCCCCCACATTTACTTTGCTGTTTTATTTACGCTTTGTGTCACAACTGAATAAACTACTCATGGTTTAAAAAAATTGAGTTTGTTACCCCCTACTGGATCAGTTCTCCCTTGTTTACACAGCTTTCCTAGTGTCTGTTGCAAGAACTCTTGTATGCCACAAAAGCTCTCTTGCTCCATAAGAGTCAAGCCTCCACAACCAACTAAAGAATTGTAAATGACTCTGAGTCCTCTTATATAGTAACGAGGCTCAGTAACAAACTCTCTAACAACTTGTAACACTGCCAGCCACGTCATCAAGTCATTCAGCAACTCTTTCCGCCTCAGCACCTTCCTCTCTCCTCTCTATATCTTCCTCTCTGCTCTTCCTCTTTCTCGTATAAACCCTTGACAGCATATCATCACCACACCTAGTTAGATAATATATATATATATACAGCAGCGAACCTTCCTAATCTTCATATAAAATGTTCTCTAACCCCAACCATATCGTTTTTCAAATAACTCAAACTTCAAATAAAGCAATATCCACCGGTTACAATATCCACCGGTTACATAGAATAGAAACATCATTAAGGACAATGACCACTTACAAAGAACGAGACACGGTCTTGAACTCAGACAAGCAAGACTGAAGTATCTCCAGACGTTTCTGAAGCTGTTGACGTTCCTTTTGCAGCACATCAATAGCTCCAGGTGCAACCAGCATGTCCATGAACTTTTCATCATTCACCGCAAACAGATCCACTCCAAGTGCAATCACGAGCCTGTCTCGGCTGCAAGAACAAAACAAATCAGGTTTAAATCAAATCAAACAAAATCGATGTCTTATTCTACGATTGAAAAAGTAGAACTCACCAAGGTGCTAGAAACCCTGAGTTTAGAGTCGACGTTACGCGTCTTTCCACTAGAACTTCACGCATTCTAGCAAACTGTTGTGCAGCTGAGGAACATATCTCACTGTAAGCAGATCTTGATTTCATTCCGTTACCAAACAGAAGCCCACCTCCTTCGTTCTGAATTCTAAACGGCTCTATGCTCCTGTTTCCTCCCACGCTCGCCACTCCCTTTCTGGCTCCACCACCATCATGATGACGACCATTGTCAATCTCTTTCTTCATCAAACTATACCCTGTCTTACCTGGTTGGTCTGGTGATGGCGTTTCAGGGACTATTATCTCCTGGGCCTTCTTACTCTTCTCAGAAGGTGTGTTTTCTTTATCTTTCATTGGCTCATCACGCCCTGTATCAGAGAGCTCGATGTAATAAGAACCAAAAGCTCCTCCTTGGTGGTAGTCCATCTCATAGCACGCCATGGAGTATGGGCTGGTCACAGAATCGAGATGGTGCCTTACGAGTTGCTTACACTGTTTGGCAAGATTCTTGACGAAAAGAGTGTAACAATTCCGTAAAGCAGCATGAAAACCAACGCATCCGTCAATATATTCAGCTTTATTCTCATCTGCTATCAAAGAGACTTCATGAGATGCAAGGCATGAGATTATTAAAAAAAATCAAGGATCATTTGAAGAAAAAGATTCTTACATTCTGAGTTTTGGTTCAGGTTTCTTTCAAGAGCAATTTCAAAGAGACTTCCTAACACAAAGGCAAGCCTGTCACAGGCTGTGTCCAGAAGAGGAGCGAGCCATGAGCGTACTGCGGTTCGAGCAATCTCTGCTGAAGCTTCTGTTACTCCTCTACCACCTCCACGCCCAGCATGAGCTAGCAGAATGTTAGCTACCTGAAAAATTGAGCCTACTTTTAGTTTTATAGGGAAAAATGCTAGTTTTACTGAGTAAATAGATGAAGTGTACATTCTCTCTTGAGATTGGAGGGCAGTCGATTGAGTAGGCAGCACAACGGAACTCATGAAGGACTCTTTCAAAGGCTGCTCCTCCATAGAGTCGAAGAACAGCATTGGGCGGCTTGATGTCACTCTCTCTACAGCTTGGCCAGCTTCCAATGCCACTCTCTCTACGCTCTTCTTCAGTCGTTTTTCCCCATTGCTCAGGTGCTGGATTTGCAGCTCCATCAATCAAAGCTCCCTACACAATATAAACAAATAAAAAAGAAGAAGAAGGGAGTTATTTCTCAAGCATTTACTAAGGACTTAGAAGGCTAATGGTAGTTTCAAAGTATGATTCACACAAAGTTGTAGTTAAACAAATTAGTTACCACATGATTGCAAAGAGAGGCCATATATAGCATAGCGGCTTTTCTAAGATGAGCAACATCAGAAGTAGCTTGAATCTTCATATCGATTATCCGCACATCATCAGATACCTCAGAGCAGCGCTGTTGGAGCAAAGCTAGTGTTGCTGGAGCAGCGTCCGTGTACCTCTTCTGAAGCTCAGACTGTAAGAAATCTCTTAACGAACCAAAACCAATATGAGAGCGAAACTTTTCTTCATCAAAACCTCCCTTAACTCCCTCTCGTAAATGCCTTATAACATCCGTGTCCATTTGAGATATCTGTCGACGAAACTCATGGTTTGAGACAGTGTTCCCGTCTTTCGGCAACGCCACAAAGTAAGGACGAGTGTCCTCCCCGAGGTACCCACTAGCACTGAGATAACGATCAACTTCACCACGATCATTAAACTCCTACAAAAAAAAGAGATGAGATGTGGATGCTCAAGTAAGTTAGGGCAAAGAAACATCAAAAATTAGAAATATTTTCAAACATTCTAGTACTAGCTAAACCTTGAGGCGGTTATCAAACTTAGAGACAACAACGATTGTCCTCCTGAAGCTTGAATCAATCTCGCGAACTGCATCCAGCCACAAAGAAGAGCACCACTCTACACTGCTCTGCTGAAGGAACAAGATAATGCGATGTGGAGGAGAAGCCAGTGACTTCACCATCGATAGAATCTCATCAGGTGTGGTTTCAGGCTCCCCTATCTTCGCCTGCGCATACCAAAAACAACAGCGTTGCAAATGAGTGAGAGGAGGTACAAAATTGAAATTGAATCCAACTCTTAACCAAAATTGAATCGAACCACCTTTAACCAAAAACCAAATCAAAATCTCAGCAAGAGAGTAGAGCTTCTACTACCTTGAGAACAAAGCCAGGAGTATCGATGATAGTGAGATTGGGAGAATGAGCATACTCAGCTCTCATCACAATCGGCTTTGGCGAAACTGCAGTCTTCGTCTTCCTCAAAAGCGCCTCTGTTCTAGACCTAATCACATCAGCAACGGCTGTGGCCGAAACAATAGGGTTTCCGTACTCTTCAGAGTCTTCATCCTACCAAAACGAAGATGATGAGTGAGAGAGATGGAGAGAGAGAGAGAGAGATAGATCGGTTACCTGGAAACTACACCGTGGCTCTAATGCTGAAACGTCATGCACCATCTGGACAATCAGAGGACGGCGCGTCCCCATCTCCACGTCTCGCACGTTGAACCGAAACCCTAGAAGCCCTTCCAGCAGTGAGCTCTTGCCGTCTGATTGGCCACCGATCGCTACAATCTCCGGAATGGGAAGTGTTTCCCCGAAAGCAACCGCAGCCGCCTGGAGACGGTTGTAAGCTTCAAACTCCATGAGAGTGTCTGTGTTTCTACGAGAGAGAGTCACTACAAAAAAAACAAGTCATAGTTACAAATTTTGTTGTGGCTATCGCCAAATCTTCGTGGCTATTTAACTAATAGTCACAAATAGCCACAAAACAAATCTGTAGCGTCGAGCTTGTGGCTATTGCTCAATTGTGGTTAGTTGTAGCTCTTTTTCTACAACTTAGTTACAACCTTATTTTGTGGCTAATATCTACAAATAGCTACAAGTGTGTTTATGGCTATAGTAGCTACAATTTGCCACATATCTAACTGTTGCTATAAAACCACAATATAAATCGTTGCAAATTTGTGGATAATTAGAAAAAAAACGCTTAGCTCCTAACAAAGTGCAACCACCAATTTATATATGTATTGTTTAGCTCCTAACCATGTGCAATCACCAATCCCTAATCAACTTACATCTGAATGAGCTATTTTCATATCCCTCGTCATCACTAGATTTGCACCAGATTCAGATAAAGAATCCACCTACGAGTTTTGAGGAAAGACAAATCAATTTGCGTGTGCTTTAAAAAACTGTTAGACAAAGCAAAATCAATATCTTACCTAATAGGGACAATAAGATCTGCTTTCATGTTCAAAACCTTTGTGATATGCACTCCTGCATAATCAGAAAATGAAGATGATCAGATAAATGAGATAACCACGAAATTAAACAGAAACGGTTAGCTCATCACGCCTAATTATCTCAGCTTCAGTGAAAACCAATGTAGAGCAACGGCCACAGAAGTGGTTATCCTTTGTTGGGTAAATGGTTAGAGAAGACTTGAATTACTAGTGAAAGATATTATGTTTTGGAGTCCATCAAGAGTTACACAATAAGTAAGAAAGAGAAAGCTTTGAGCAGAAGAAGCAGACAATATGCAACTTATTGTAGAGAACATTCAAACCAAAAAACAAATGACCTTATATAAGTATATAAACTTACACCCGTTAGTCTAGGAAGGAATGTTGGACAGAGTTAGAAGTAGCTGACATCACTCCAGGAGGTACAAAAGATTTGCAAATTTGGTCAGGTCCCTGTGATGGAGAAGGGCCTTGAACTCATCTGCAAATCAGCAAACAGTTATTTTTATTGGCTAACTTTAACATGAAAGGTTTCTGGGTTTATGAACTTACTGTAAACAACGATTTCCTGAATCTGAAATTGGATAATTCAAATGGAGAAGAATCTGAAAGAAACTGCAAGAGTTACAAGGAGTGACAGAGAAACATAACGGAAAGAGAACAACAGAATCAAAAGAGACAACAAAAAATTCGCTGGACGGTTGGAGGAGGAAGTGGAGGCAGAGGAACGAGAACAAAATGAAGGATACGGAAAAGGTAGGGTTTCGGTGTTAACCGAGATAACCACTGACTATTTTGTGGGCTTATCATTAATATGTTCACCACCCGGGAAAATTAAAATTTAACAATTAAATTTTAAGCGGGAACTCGTATTCTATTATCAAAATTGAAAATTTGGTAAAGAGCGAATATTCATAGATCGTTATTATATTATCTTATATTTTAACTATCTATTTTATTCATATTAAGTTCGCCTATGGTTCAATTTAGTAAGAACTAACATTTAGATGATGGTTTTGTGGAGAAAAACTAATATGTGTCAATACGTGCTTTAATTATATAAATACTATAATGTTTGGGTTTGGGGCATTTTTTTGGAAAAAAATATATACTTACATGATATAAAATTTATAATTCATAATTTCAGATTTAAGTTATAAGATTCAAAAGTTATACAGTTTTGTACTTATTTGGTAAACTTATAAGTATTTGATTACGTATATAAATACTATGTATATGTATATGTTATATTTAGGTTCGAGTTTGAGACATAAACATGAAAATGTTGAAATCGGTGGATCTATTAAACATATCGTTTTGTGTTTATATTTAAGAGTTCCTGATCTAAGATAAATGGTTAGGCATTAGGGTATGTTTAGAGTATAGGGTATGCTCAGGGCTTATATTTTCTCCAAATAGCTTTCCTAGTGTCTGTTGTGTTCCTTATTACAGACAATTCATTTTCTTTTGAGCAGATGGAGGTTGTTGATGTTTGTGCCGGAGGAGTACAAACGCAGAATTTGGATACTATGGCACAGTTGCCTCCCCTTCTGATCTCGTTTATCATCGAAGGAATTGACCTGAACACGAATGGGAGTGTATATCAGGTACAGTCACAATGTGGTTTCATCTAGTTCGGTTCCAGTTCCTCCTTTATAATTTCATGAGACCTTGACTAAAATCAGGGACAGTCTGAACCAGAGGTCTTTGGATCTGCAACAGAACGTGCCATTCTTAATTTCGGTGTCAAGGTGGTAGGCTTTTTTCTTATAATTTTTATTAGTTATCTCAAAAAAATAGTTGCAACCATCTGATTGCAGAATTAATCTACTGTTTTATACTCATCTTTTTGCAGTTTGGAATGAATTTTGGATGAAGTAAAGTCAACATCAACAATTTTTCGCGTTTCCCATTTCAATTCAAGCAGAAAACGTAGAGGTGTTGCAGTCCAATTGGTAATGTAAGCTTATTTCTTGTTCTTGCTAATTTATCCTACTTTCCTACCTTACTTCATGCATGTGGTAGAATTGGTTCAGTATGTTCGGTTTTGATTCAATTTTTTTGTCTGATCTTTTTTTTTGTCTTGCTAATACACATTTAGCATGATTCTCAAGTCCGTGTTCATTGGAAAGGTGCTGCCAAGACTATTCTAGCTTCTTGCCAGTGGTATATGGACATGGACAACATAGCAGCTATGGACCAAGAAAAGGTACTCTTACACTATATTATAATCTTAAAAGATAATTATAATAAGAAACATATAAAGGAGGCCTCTAGTGATCTTGATTTCAATTGTCTTATTCAGTGCTCTTTCATTATTTTTTATCAGATAATTCATTTTGAAAAAACCATCGAAGATATGTGCAACAAAGGATTGCGCTGTGCTGCCCTTGCCTACCGAACTTTTCCTGAAGGAGATATTCACAGGAACGAAGCATTCCCAAACATACCTGAAAGCAACCTCGTGCTATTGGCTATCATTGGTATAGAGGTAATTAGTGAGGACTGTGGAACATGTTATACTATTATATCCCTGCATGCAATAGAAAAACTTATATCTTCACTTTTAACAAATGGATAAAATGTGTGCAGGATTCTTGCCGGCCAGGCATAAGAGATGCAATCCAACAATGTCGAAATGCTGGAGTAAAGGTGGCATTTTTATTTTGCAAACTTCTATACCTCTTCTTTTCCTATTCTTTCTCTAAAGTTGGCATACTCCTTACTATATGATCATTAAGGATCTAAGATCAATTTTTCTCCTAAACATTTATCTTTGTTTAGTTCTATGTTCTTATTCTTTGTTTCACAATTTAATTGTTAAGTATGGTACACTTTGTCATCGGGAAGGAGGTTTTAGCCTATACACCGAGAACCAAAAAACAAACCAGAACCGACCCAAAATATTGTATCCAACATAAACTGATATTCACAAATTTTCAAACGATTCTTATATATATTCGAGAAATTGAAAACAATACTAAACTAGATTCGAAACGAAAACCGAAGAGTTACCTGAAATTATGAACACAATTTATGTATCTAGAATATTAATTATGTTTAATTTTAAATTATCAATATTCTCTTTTTTGTCAAAGTTTTACCAATATTCTTAAAATATTATGTATACCCAAATAACGATTTACCAAGTATTTTGTATCAAAATATTTTGAAGTTTCTTAATAATTCAGAAAAACTGAATTGTGCAAAAAAAAATTACCAAAATAATTAAATTCATCTGGAATACCTGATATTTGATTTGAAAACTAAATATTTTGCTTTTACATAAATTACCAAAATTATCAGAAAACGTCCATAACTAAAGCTAAACCGAATGATGACCAAAATATTATTAAAATCAATCGGTTTCTAATCTTGTTACCCAATCACAAATAAAATTACCGAATCAAAACTAAACCAAATTTAATAAATAACTAAATGATACTCTTATATATACTCTGAACTGAAATCGAACCAAAAACAGAACGGCCAGGCTTAATCGATGTTAACGAAATAGATTAAGGATTAATAGGATAATGGGAGATGAATTTATGGTCTCAGTTTTAATCGACGCATTACTGAGGATGTCAAGAGCCATTCAAAACCAACTTTGAATCATTGACAACGACATGCACGCGCACAAAATAGAAAAAAGGTAATGAAAACCTTGTTTATTAAGAAAATAGTAAAGTATATGTAGATTTAAAAATTATATCCACTGCACATGGTATGTGTAGTTTGTTGTTTTCTGAGAAAAGATCAAAATAAATGGTCCCTGCCGTGATTTATGAATGCTAAAAAAAAGGACCAAATTAAAACAGTCGGCTTCTGTTTGATGGGGACTGTTTGATGTATGTACGTAACATACACGTAACGTACATTCTCCTTCCCTAAAATCAGCTATGTTGAGTTCTTTCATATGTATAGCTGAACATACAATTATGTTTGAATTAGAATATTTTGATTGAATCATGTTTGTAATTGAGCCCGGTTTCGGACTGATAACAAAAAAAATATTATTTATAAAAAAATGATTTATTATTCAATTTATTTGGGTCAATGGGATAGGGTTTAAAAATATAATATTTTACGTACGAATAAGTTTTTTTTGCCAACATGGATTACAATGGGTCGGTTCAATATTTCTCTAATCTTTAGAAAGAAAAGACTTTATTTTAGAAGATATGAAATGGTCAAACTAGGTTGAACCCCTGATATCAAAAATGCCTAAGACACTCTCCTAACCATTAGACTAAGATCTTTCCAACAGTATGAATCAATTTATCTTCTCTCTTAACCATATAGACCATTTCTAATCAATTTCTATATTTTCTCTAAATAAAAGTATTACAGAAATGAGTTTTATTCTAATATGTTCTTATAACAATCTTTAAAATTTGCCCTCTGTATATAAATGTATTATTTATAAAATTTTCTTATATATTAAAATCAATAAATATACTTTTTAATTTTTTTTTGTTTTATCAATAAAGTGTCACCACTGATAATTTTATTTTTAATTTATGTTTTTAGTTTCAAATACAAATGCATTAATTATATTATAAAACATCAATTTTTGTATACAAGATGAAAAAGGTAGAACATCATATGTTTGTAAAAATTCAGTAAAAAAAACATCATATGTTTGTATACTGAGAGAGAAGCAATTATCGTAATCTTTTAGCAAATCTTTATTTTTCTTCTTGGTAATGTCGGATTGCTCCATCCTTGTAAGAAAACTCCATTTCTCTCGTTGCAATTACTTCAGTTTAATTACCATTTCTAGTAAATTCCTGTAATATGACGACGGATCACAACTATATATAATCCTTTTTTTTCTTTATCTCATAAAGCCTGATTTGCTTCTTTCTTTTCTTGTTCCTATATTCTCTCTCTGCAATTTGTATTTTATGTGAGAAAGATTAGACATGTGTACGCGTGGGATTTAAAGTAGATAATGAGTTTTAGGGGCTAACGGAGTAGTTGATGACAGGGGAAGATTATGTGTACTTTAGGTCAAGGATATGGAGTAAATAAGAAAAAATGATTCCCCATGAACCAAAGTATATGGAGTAAATAAGAAAAAATGATTCCCCATGAACCAAAGTATATTACTTATTCAGGAGTCTTGGAGTTCCAAAAAGGAGTCTTTCTCATATGTTTTATAATGTTTGTTACAAACTTTATCGAAAGGGAAATATTCTTTCCACGTTGAAAGGTATTGCAACATTAGGTTAAATCTATATAAAAATGATATATCTTTATAATTCTTATCGAGATCTAACTGTATTCAATCAACAACGTTAAAATGTTCAACGCTTTTGTCGCTGGGATTATAATAGCAATATTGTTCTACTGGCGTACAAGAAGCCACCAATGTCTCATCATTTACCTTTCTAACAAACATGACCGGTAATGGACATAGATATAAGTGAATTATTTGATCCAAAAAAAAAGATATAAGTGAATTATCAGTCTGTGATCTCTAAAAGTTTTTAAAATAATTAAATAGATTTGTAAAAAAAGCAACTTGAATCCAACGCTACAATACGACCAGAATCGTCTCTCTATTTTTTACTGATTGGGAGATTTCCACCAATAAATCTCGTAGTGATTATTAAGTAGCTTTTTCTTTGCCGCTACAACTTGACAAAACACTAAGTAAAGAAACGAGATGGAGCAATGTCTCATATATTCGAAATCTCCAGCGTTCACATGCGCTTTATCAAAGAGGCCGGGCGAGAATAAGACAAAACCGTTCTACTAGAGTTTTCCTACTCCAAATAAAGTTTCCGATTTATTAAACAAGAAAAAAAGAAACTATACATAGTTTTACTAATGAGTAGAAAAAGCACTAGAGTGATATTGTGCAGTACATTAATGTTCTCTTATCATATATCTTAACAATTTAAATTCAAAGAATAGGTTATAGATTTTCAAGTTTGATTAAAAAGTGATTTGATAATGGTTTTCATGTTTAGTGTTTTTAATTTATCTTTTGGTAAAAGTTTATGCAAGCCAAGAGGGATGATGACCAAGGACAAAGAGACTGTAATTTGTAACCCAATTAAACGGACAATTGATCAAATTTCGACTAGTTTGATAATTAAACGCACTTTAAGTTAGGTAGGCTGGTAAAGTTATGTGTTGCTTGGTGGAATAGAGCACAAAATATAAGTATTGATTAAATACTTGAGAATATGACAAAAAGACCAACAACTATCTATTTGCATAATAATTTTAGTTTATTATGCTGATGAATTGCATCACTATGAAGATTTATTTGGACTACAAACAAACAATTCCATCTAAAAACATACTAACGACAATTCTATATTATGATTTGTTTGTTTTCTATTGGCAGATAATACTGTAAACTGGTAATCATTATTCATTTTCTCAGCCTTTTTTAGTTATATACCGCTTAAGATATATTTTCCACCGCACTCAGCTAACTAATTGTCGTATTCTTTTGGCAAAGGCTCTTTACACATCTTTGTAAGGTTTCTTCGAGAAAAAAAGAGAGTGGGATATGACCTTTTCAAAAGCAAAAATCCCATGATCAACAAAACAAGAAGTTTATCACAATAAGATGTTAAGAAAATGTGTTTAGTTTTTTACTTATGAGCCGACTAAGAATAGAATCTCACGGCACGTTCTTGTGTTTTATTTCGTTTTCCTTTTCAAAATTGTCGTCTTCTGCACCCCGCATCATCTAATCTTGTCACAAACGTTCTAGAAGTTTTCTTAGATGACTGTATTTAACTATTTTTTATCTGTGGGGAAATAACAATTTTATATCATTCTTTGTAAAACGTAGTGTAATTGATAATTTCAAAAATATTTATTGTGAAAAAAATTTCATAATATTAGATAGAATTTAAAAGATGCTATATTTAAAATTATTAAGTATAGTTTAATTTAATTAAGATCATCTAAAAAAACTCTTTCAAAATGGGTGAAGATATGAAGAAAGCGGCTTTTCAAACTGAAAGTCGGTGAAGATATGAAGAAAGCCGCATTATCCAATCCTAATCCTCCACGCGTCGACCTTCAAGTTGCTTCTATATATAACACAACACACCCACACTCTCTTCCTCTCTCTCTCTCACTTGCTCTGTAACCACTTTCTTCTATGCAATCACCTCGGCGGCGCTCTGTTGATTTAGAAGCTGGCTTTGCCGGCGACGACGGCGTGAGACAGGAAATGGCAGTCTATCACGGCGGCGGCGGCAGCGTTGTTGCTGAGTCACGGAACCCCGCTCGACGCTTTAGAGTAAACGCTAACGGCTTCAGTTTTCGAATTAGTTTCTGACAAAACGGCGTCGTTCTCAGTTCTCACATAATGCTTTTTTGTTTGTTTGTTGGATTTAAAAAAGGTATCTGAGAGGGAAGAAGTCTACGGATCTCATGATGAAGATACTACAAGGGTATGAAAATGAAACAAAGATAGTTACAACTTTTGATTCAAGCTCCCAAAGTAGAAGTTTTTGTGTTGTTGGATATATATATATATTTCCTAATATGGGGTTTTGCCTTTTATAGGTTGCTGCACGGCTTTTATCTCAGTCAGAGGAACCAGTACAAGGTATCTTCTTATTCATCCTTTATTTGATTGAAACATCAATAAAGCTAAGTAATAGTGAGATCATAATGTTTTTTTTGTTTTGTTGCTGTTGTAAGTTTAGTGTTTAGATCATAGTGAGATCATCAATACCAGTACTGTTGCCTTTTATAGAGTTTTTTTTTTCTTTTTGTTGTTGTTGTAAGTTTAGTGTTTAGATCATAATGTTTTTGACATTTTTTTTTTCTTTTACCTCATTGGGGTTCATGCTGAAATGAATTCGTGTTTCCAATTTTTAGTTGTTGGAATTGGAATCCCTGTCTCGTGTCCAGATGAATTTCTTGGTATCAAATTGGAGGAACTTGCTTCTATATCCAGAGATGGTGGTCTAAGTGTTCTAAAGCGATTTGATGGGGTAAGCAGCTTATCATACATGTATCTCCACCACCAACTAATGTTCGACTTGTCTGTTTCTTTTGCTTACTTATTTGATCCGTTTCATGCTACATAGGTTAGCGGATTATCACCTCTGTTGCACACCGATCTAGAGAAGGGTATCTGTGGTGATGATGACGACATACTGAAACGAAGGGAAGTGTTTGGAGCTAACACTTATCCGCTGAAGAAAGAAGGGAACTTTTGGGTATGGTGACCAAACCGTATTTGTTTTATGTGAAACCTTTGACAGAAAGAAAAACCTTTTCATTCTGCTGTTCTGCTTGTAGATGTGTCTCGTGAAAGCAAGCCGAGGTTTTACCTTGATCGTGTTGGTTTGTGCTGCAATGGCTTCTCTGCTGCTGCAAATAAAAACTAAGGTGGGTGGTTTGCTGAAATGTTTGGCTATTCGTCTTATTGACGTGTGCAATATCTCTATTTGGCTTACTCTACACTTTTAGCTTCTTTAAACCCATTGATATTTGCATTTTCTCTGTCTTTGTATGTATCCTGTGCTTTTTGCTATACTGATCTACTTCCATCTATTCTAGTTAGTTATAATGCCAAGCATCCTATTATATTCACTTCTCTCGCAGACTATCAATCATGGATGGTATGAAGAAGTTGGCATCATTGTTGCAGTTATCCTTGTCGTCTTTGTGACAGGTAGCCTCTTTTTTTTTTCCATTGCATCTTGAAACTTGTCCGTTACCTGTAGAATTACTTTAGAGAATAGAAACTAATCACGTCTAGCTCGGTTTTATGTAATTATGTGGCGAATAGAATTTGGTCTGTTGTTTACTTAATCACTTTTGCCCCTTTTCTACAGCTATCAGTAACTACAACCAGTCTCTTCAATTTGAAAACTTGAACGATGAGAAGAGAAAAATATGTGTCGAGGTTTGTGCTCATACCATAAAGGTTTTTGCCATGACCACATGATATGTTATTCGTCACTCAACTTTGCTGAATATCACTGGATCCATCCAGGTTACTAGAAATGGAAGACGGGTCGAAGTTTCAATCTATGATATTGTTGTTGGCGATATTATACCTCTTAAAAGTGGTGACCAGGAAAAGATCCAATCCTTTTGATATGTGATATAGTTGTTACTATCATTCATAATTAAACTGAAGTAGGGGATATATGCTGCAGGTGCCTGCAGATGGTGTCTTAGTTTCTGGGTACTCACTTCAGATAGGCGAATATGAAAGCATGGGAATTAACAGAACGGTAAGCTTGTACTTTTGTATCAAATGCATTATTATGTCATACTATTCTAATAACTCGTTCGCATAAATAGGTTCTCAAAGACACAAATATAGATCCAATTCTAATATCCGGATCTAAAGTGGAAGATGGCATCGGTACAATGCTGGTACGGTTTACGTTCACATTTCTTTTAATGTGTCATCCATTCAGTAGTTTGCCTCTAAATGAAATAACTACATAGACTTTGAGTTTCGTTATGAGAAAAGATCCTCTATCTCTCTTCCATACAACTGAAGGTTGCAGACCTTGCTCTTTTTTTTTCCTGCCTACACTGGCTTTTTTAGCTCCATTCTTTTCTTGCCCTGTGTTTCTAAGGTTACTAGTGTCGGGATGAACACTCAGTGGAGGATGCCTATGGATTGTGTTCCACTTTATACTGGTAAAGAGACACCGTTGCAGGTACGTTTTATTGGTGAATGGCCCTTTTATGTATGCTTGTTGCAGTTCTTTATTCACCTGTTAGTGACTTCTATTAGGCGTACCTGAACCGTGTTGTAACTGCATTTGGCCTAATCAGTATCTCGTTTGCTTTGGTTGTTTTTCTTATCGTGTCATGCCTGTAAGTTTGTCTCTACACCCAAGAATATCTTTCTGTTAACAAGTTCTACTGCTTGATTCTCATCTTCAAGAAACCTTTCAACCCCAGATACTTCATGGGTCGAACCAAAAATACAGATGGTAGTCCTATGTTTGATGCTGGGAAAACTACGTTAGATGAAGCAATAGACATGGTGATTAAGTTTATAATTTTGGGGGTAAGTATAGATTAAACATATGATAGGTAGCTATATTTTACCTTTCATTTTTTTATTATGTTGTTGATCTATATGTGTATCTGTTGTAGGTTACCATTGTAGTCGCTGCAGTGCCTGAAGGACTTCCATTAGCAGTTACTTTAAAGTAAGGATGTTCAGACATCTGCTACTTGACAGACTCTGTACTTTTGAATGGCTGTCTATTTATGGTTGCCTACCAGTCAGTTTCTACTAATTGTCTGTAGCGTATCTGCACCTTTTACCCCCTGCATGCAAAACCTAATTTTTTTCCTACAACTTTCTTAGCAGTTTGAAAATCTAGTTTTTCTGTTACCTAATTAATGCCAATTACTCTGGAAACAGCATTGCCTATATGACGAGAAAACTTCGAGGAGAAAAGGCTTTGGTACGCAACTCTTAGATGACTACTTTTTGATATATACTTTTACTAACGAATTAATAATCTCACACGATGTTCAGGTGCAAAAGCTCTCTGCCTGTGAAGCGATGGGGTCTGCAACAACTCTTGTATGCCACAAAACCGGGATTTTAACCTTAAATCAGGTAATTTGCTATCTCTTCTCGTTTTTTCTCCCACATATACTTTGCTGTTTTATTAACGCTTTGTGTCATTGTTTCTTCACAACTAAATATATAAACTACTCATGGTTTAAAAAATTGAGTTTGTTGCCGCCTACTGGATCAGTTCTCCCTTGTTTACACAGCTTTCCTAGTGTCTGTTGTGTTCCTTATCATAGACAATTCATTTTCTTTTGAGCAGATGGAGGTTGTTGATGTTTGTGCCGGAGGAGTACAAACGCAGAATTTGGATACTATGGCACAGTTGTTGCCTCCCCTTCTGATCTCGTTGATCATCGAAGGAATTGCCCTGAACACGAATGGGAGTGTATATCATCCTGAGGTACAGTCATGTTGTCAAGTTTTAAATAGTTCGGTTCCAGTTCCTGCTTTATAATTTGATGAGTCAACCTTGATTGATTAAAATTAGGGACAGTCTGAACCAGAGGTCTTTGGATCAGCAACAGAACGTGCCATTCTTAATTTCGGTGTCAAGGTGGTAGGCTTTTTTCTTATAATTTTTATTAGTTATCTCAAAAAAATAGTTGCAACCATCAGAATATCTGATGGTTGAACTAATCTTATAATTTTTGCAGTTTGGAATGAATTTTGATGAAGTAAAGTCAACATCAACAATTTTTCGCGTTTCACCTTTCAATTCAAGCAGAAAACGTAGAGGTGTTGCAGTCCAATTGGTAATGTTACCTGGTTCATCCCACTTTCCTACCTTACTTCATGTGGTAGAATTGCTTCGGTTTTGATTCAATTTTTTTTGTCTGATCTTTTTTTGTCTTGCTAATACACATTTAGCATGATTCTCAAGTCCGTGTTCATTGGAAAGGTGCTGCGAAGACTATTCTAGCTTCTTGCCAGTGGTATATGGACATGGACAACATAGCAGCTATGGACCAAGAAAAGGTATTCTTACACTATATTATAATCTTAAAGATAATTATAAAAAGGAGGCCTCTAGTGATCTTGATTTCAATTGTCTTAGTCAGTGCTCTTTCATTATTTTTATCAGATAATTCATTTTGAGAAAACCATCGAAGATATGTGCAACAAAGGATTGCGCTGTGCTGCCCTTGCCTACAGAACTTTTCCCGAAGGAGATATTCACAGGAACGAAGCATTCCCAAACATACCTGAAAGCAACCTCGTGCTATTGGCTATCATTGGTATAGAGGTAATTAATGAGGACTCTGGAACATGTTATACTACTAATATTTGCTATATAAAAACTTATATCTTCACTTTTAACAAATGGATAAAATGTGTGCAGGATTCTTGCCGGCCAGGCATAAGAGATGCAATCCAACAATGTCGTAATGCTGGAATAAAGGTGGCACTTTTATTTTGCAAACTTTTATATCTCTTCTTTTTCTATTCTTTCTCTAAATATGGCATACTCCTTACTATATGATCATTAAGGATCTAAGATCAAATTATTTCTACAAGCTGATATGTCAATCTTATTTTATCTGTATCATAGATGTGCATGGTGACAGGCGACGACCTTCTGACTGCCAAAGCAATAGCAAAGGAATGCGGGATACTGACAGCAACATCAGATACAGATACACATGCGAATGCAACAATCTTAGCAAGTGACTTTGCTTCAATGTCAGAAGTAGAAAGAGAAGAAATTGTTGAAAATATTCTAGTGCGTACAATTATGCTCTTACCCTTTTTCCTATGTTCTGAGATTTTGCAGCGGATTTGTACATGCTGAAATAAGCAGATAACTAATCAACCTTACTTTTGGAAGGTGATGGGTCGATCTTCTCCTGATGAAAACCTTCTTTTACTCGAAGAACTGAGTAAGAAGGGACACGTGGTTGCAGCAACTGGAAAGGGAATCCGCGATGCTCCGAGTCTGCGCCAGGTCCTTAAAATATTATTAACTTGGGATTTAAAAACTCTCAAATCACTCGAGATGATATCTTCCCTATAACTGTTGTAGTTATTATTAATTTGATCATGGACTGCAGGCGGATATCAGTCTTGCAATGGGCATTGGAGGGACTGCAATTACTAAAGAATGCTCTGATATCATTATATTGGATGACGAGTTTCCTTCGATCGTCACGGTTGGCGAATAATCATATGCATCAATTTAGTTGACATTATATTTGAAAATGGCTGCAACTGAAAAAGGAGGTGTTTGTTTTAAGGTCATCAAATGGGGACGATCTTTATACACAAATGTTCAAAGATTTGTCCAGTTCCGGCTAACTGTCAGCGCATCAGCTCTAATTATATGTGTTGTTGTGGCGGTTCATTCTCATGAAGTTCCCCTAAATGTTGCGCAGGTAATTAATTTCTAGTCTTTGTATTCTTAAGAACTCGTTCTTTCTTTCTCATCAAGTTACTTTCCATTTCTATATGCAGCTTCTGTGGATTAATCTTCTCATTGATACTTTTGGTGCATGGGCCTTGGCATCAGAACCACCAATTGACAACTTAATGCGAAAGCCTCCGGTTCGTAAAGGGTATGGTAAACCGTTTATTGTCTATCCTCAATAGTTTTCAGTTGATCTATGCAGTGGAGCCAAAAGGACTACTTGGTTCTGCTCCTACTTATGTGAATTTCTGGACTAGATGGAAAGAAAGAAGTCCAAGAAAGTTATCATAAGTAGGAGCAGAACTAAGTCGTTCTCTGGTTTCTTGGAACCCATAGCAAAATTTCAAAATGGACTTTTGCAAAAGCATTTCATACGGAGATTTTTCTCTGCTTTTGTTTCTCCTTTCGTCATATATATGATAGCAGTTTGATGGTACTCCGTTTGCCATTTCAGAGAACCCTTTATAACCAAACTCATGTGGGCGAAGTTTGTTGTACAGGTATGCCCGTATATAAGCTTCATGTTCTAATTAATACTTGTGATTTTTTTCATACATTTCAATGAAGTAAACTACAGCTGCGAAGCTGAATTTACACAATTATTTAGTTATCCACCTTTGTATTTTGCAATCATATCATGACTTTGTTTTAGGTAACATCGTTCCGGTTTTCCAGGTTGGTTACCAAGTGACTGCATTGCTTCTCATTAACTTTCATGGAGGGAGTATTCTGAAACTGGAGAACAAAAGTCTAGATCATGCTAACAAAGTCAAGAACACTCTTATATTCAATTCCTTTGTCTTCTGCCAAGTAATCTCTCTCACCACCATTCTATATTTGCTTGGTGAGAATTTCACGTTTTTGTTGGTAATCCCTGTCTGAATTTATGCAGGTATTTAACGAGTTTGAGTGTCGGACTCCTGACCAAAGACATATATTCCGCGGAATCCTAAAGAATCATTTGTTCCTTGGAACAGTTACTGTAACTGTTATACTTCAGGTGATTCTTCTTATACATAAAAAAACTGATGTTAGTAACAATTACTTTTATCTTTCATTCTAAAACACTCCCTAATCTCCATACTTGCTTTCGTTGTTTCTATCAGGTAATCGTGATAGAATGCCTTGGCATTTTCATTTCCACAGTCAGGCTTGACTGGAAGCAGTGGCTGATCTCCATTGCAATCGGTTTTCTCAGGTACCATTCCACAGAAAAGAATCATCCTCTGAATTGGACCTTAACTCTGTTTTCTATATTTTTTGTACAGTCAAGTCGCTGGTCGCTTTCCTTTCCAAGCTTTTCCCTATCTCCGGAACTAAGATTCTTCTTAAACACGTATAAGACATACGGCCTTATAGTGTACGCATTTTGTTACTCTTTTTTTTTTTTGAATCAAAATGTTAAATTTATAACTCAAAAAAAAGACCTTATACAAATGTTTTTGAATCAAGAAAAACAAAGCTCACAAAACCAATCAGATCGAAAAAAGAGAAAACAGATTCTTTTACTTCTTTCCCAAGTAAACTCCACCACCTATCCTTCAAACCAATCAAGACCAACTCAGCACTCACTCCTANTTTTTTTTTTTTGAATCAAAATGTTAAATTTATAACTCAAAAAAAAGACCTTATACAAATGTTTTTGAATCAAGAAAAACAAAGCTCACAAAACCAATCAGATCGAAAAAAGAGAAAACAGATTCTTTTACTTCTTTCCCAAGTAAACTCCACCACCTATCCTTCAAACCAATCAAGACCAACTCAGCACTCACTCCTACTGAGTACCTAGCACTCACTCCTACTAGGCTTTCCACAAACCAGCTCTCACTCCTACTGGTTTTAGCACTTCTCCATCAACCCTACTTAGCCCTCACTCCTACTAAGTAATCAGCACTCACTCCTACTGATAATGCACCCTCCAAAACTTTCAACTCATTCAAAACAGACAGCAAGCAATACGAGACAGGTCATTCTCTTGTGCTAAACCATCTGATCATTCCTGCATCATACTCTTTGTCACCTCTCAGCCGTATAACTGTGAACTTGTTTCGCATCTCTTTGTCAATTCTTTTAGCGACCAACGTCGAAGGAGTTGGACTCTCACCATGTTTTCTACGATTCCTCTCCTTCCAAATTGCATGAACTGCAGATTGAAACACATGTCTTATGATATAAAGATTGAGTTTATCCCAAGATAAACCATCAGATAAAAGCCTAATAATGGTTTCCCAACCCGTCGCATAATGACTTCCCATAACGCCTCTTATTAGTTTTTCCCAAATTTGCTTGGAGTAAACACACTCAAAGAATAAGTGCTCCCTGGTTTCCAAAGGTTCACAACAGAAACTACAAGCAGCATCCGCAGTGGTATTCCAGCTTCTGACTCTATCACCGGTAGAAAGTCTTCCGTGAATCGCGAGCCAAAGAATAAAAGAATACCGTGGAGTTGCGTGCTTAAACCAAACCACACTATACCAGCCACACAATTGATGTTTCTCACGAGTCATGAGCCAAGTGTCTCTTGTAGAGAAAACTTTTTTATAATTACCCTTTTCTGTTTTCCACATCGAGACATCTTCTTCCTGCACCCAATTTTCTTTGTATCTCTCAATTTCCACTTCAATCTTGTTTAAAAGTTGGACCCTATGATTTCTCTTTCTATGGTTCCTGCAAGCCGCAACATTCTCTTTTGCTAGAATTCCCAAATCAATATGGCCACTGCCATTAAGAATATCCTGCAAACAACCCAAAGGCGACCAAGTCTCGTACCAAAAAGAAGCTTTGTTGCCATTCTTTACCTCTACCTTGTAGAAAGATTTTGCAATGTCTCTACATTTTAAAATCTTCCTCCACATCCAAGTACCAGACTGAGTATTCTCCTTCACCATCCAAATCGAGCCCTTCCTAATTAAATAACTTTTGATCCAATTAACCCACAAGGAATTAGTCGACAGGATCCTCCAAACCAACTTAATACAGCACACCAAGTTCACTTCTTTTAGAGATCTTATCCCCAAACCACCCTCCTGTTTAGTCTTGCATACATCCTTCCAGGAAATCTTATTTTTCCTGCTATTTAGATTAGGACCTGACCACAGAAAAGCAGCACAAATCCTCTCAACATCCTTTATACAGCTACTCGGAAGTCTAAAAGCCGACATCCAAAAGTTCGTAAGGCTCATAATCACGGATCTTATCAACTGCAACCTCCCAGCATAAGAAAGAAAACGCCCTGTCCAGGAGCTAATTCTTTGTCTAATTTTCTCAATCAGAGGTAAATAGTCTGTAACATTCATACGCTTTGTTAAGAGAGGGAGACCTAAGTAGCGTACTGGAAGAGTACCTGTAGCAAACTTGAATTGCCCCTGAATATCTTCTCTCTTCTGAGCTGTACTACCCACCAGAAAGAGGACCGACTTCTCCATACTTATCTGCAACCCACTCATTTTGTCAAATCTGTCAAAAACCTTCAAGATCCCATCTATAGATTTTTCTGTACCATCAGCAAAGATTAACAAATCATCAGCAAAGCAGAGGTGCGTAAGATTGATATTCCTGCATTTCGGATGATAGCCTATCTCCCCTCTCTTAGCAGCTTTGTCAATCATTCTTGACAAGACACTCATACAAATAACAAATAAACAAGGAGATAATGAACATCCTTGCCTAAGGCCTCTATTACTTTGGAAGTAGCCAGCTAACTCACCGTTGACTTGCACCGAGAAAGAAGGGGAAGTTATACACAAAGAAATCCACTTGATAAAATTCACCGGGAACCCCATGGCATGCAGTGTATTAATCAAGAAAGACCATTGAACCGAATCAAACGCCTTTGATATATCAATTTGCATAGCACAACGAGGAGAGATGTTTTCTTTGTGATAATCTTTTACCAATTCTGATGCTAAGAGGACATTTTCCATCAATAATCTCCCTTTGACAAACGCAGATTGATTGAGTGTAATACACTTAGGCAAGATACCTTTCAATCTATTTGCAAGGAGTTTTGAGATTACCTTGTATAGGACATTACACAGAGAGATAGGTCTGTAGTCCTTCATCAAACGAGCTTCCTCCTTCTTTGGTATAAGAGCTAGGATAGTGGAATTTAGGCCTTTCGGTAAAAAGCCTTTAANTTGACAAACGCAGATTGATTGAGTGTAATACACTTAGGCAAGATACCTTTCAATCTATTTGCAAGGAGTTTTGAGATTACCTTGTATAGGACATTACACAGAGAGATAGGTCTGTAGTCCTTCATCAAACGAGCTTCCTCCTTCTTTGGTATAAGAGCTAGGATAGTGGAATTTAGGCCTTTCGGTAAAAAGCCTTTAAGAAAGAAGGATTGAACAGCTTTAGTAACATCATCACCAATCACTGACCAAGCCTCTTTAAAGAATTCTGAAGTATATCCATCAGGCCCTGGAGATTTACTAGAAGGCATCCGGAAAACAACATTTCTAATTTCATCCTTTGAAACCTCCTTCTCAAGATGGGAACAGTCCAAATCGCTGCATTGAAAATCAAGCAACTCCTTTAACTCCTCCACAGTAGCCCCTTCAAACTCCTGTGGAATCCTTTGTAAAAATTCCGCAAAAAATTTTGCAGCCTCATCTTTAATATCCTCATCAGATTTCACAATAACACCATCATCACGTTTAATTTCATGAATGGCATTTCGAACTTCCCTGATTTTCGCAGAACTATGAAAAAAGGTGTTGTTGCCATCTCCCACATCTAACCAATGGACCTTCGATTTTTGTTTCAGATATTCTTCCTCTAGCCCCACAAGTCTCTGCCACTTAGCATAAATTTCAAGTTCTTCCCTAACTGCTTCACTTGTAGGATTCTCCAGAGTATGACCTTGTTTAACACACAAAAGCTGATAAGCCTCTCTAGTCCTTTTTGACAAGTCTCCCAGCTTTTCCTTGCTCAAAATTCTTAGAGGTTGCTTTAAAGCCTTTAACTGTTTCGTAAGACGGAACATGGCGGAGGTAGAATGATAGAGAGCATCGTAGTTCCTCCATTGTTCCTCTATCAGGATCTTGAACTCAGGCATTTTACCAATAGCATTTGTAAACTTAAAAGGCCGTCTCTTTTTCTTTTCTTCCACATCCATCTCAATTCGACAACGCAAATGGTCAGAGCATCCCCCAGCCTCAAATACACAATAAGCTGGATCATTATGCAACCAAAACTCATTAACTAAAACTCTATCCAACTTCTTGCAAATCAAGCCTTCTTCTCTTTTATTACACCAAGTAAGAAGGGGACCTTGAAAGCTCATATCCGTAAGTTTACAGTACCGATGTATATCTTGAAAATCCCTCATACCTGATGTAACCCTTGGAGAGCCTGCATACCCAGAATGTTCTTCTCCCTCCAAAATTTCATTATAGTCTCCCATTAGCACCCATTTCTTCTGATTGAACATTGGAGCATCATAATGACTTCTCAACTCATCCCAAAGTTCCTTTCTTTCCTCCATAGTATTAAACGCATATATAAAAGAGCAGAAGAATTCATCCTCTCTTCCTGGCAAAAGCACAGAACAAGTGATAATTTGAGCACTCTTATATACAGGAGTAAGCCTAACCTCCGATCTCCACACCACCCAAAGCCGTCCTAATCGACTATACTCATAATTTGCCATCATATTCCAGCCACTAAAAACTTCATTTACAATCTTTCCTACTTTATTTTCCTTCACCCTTGTTTCAATAATACATCCAAAATTCATACGCTGATCTCTACACCATTTCCTCACCACATCATGCTTAGTTTTTTTGTTGAAACCTCTCACATTCCAAAAAAACCCCGCCATATTAATGATTATTGCGAAGACCCCTTTTCAATAGCCCAAGATTCTTATCTTCGGCTTGAACTGAAGTCTCTGTTGGTAAAACACGATGATTGGTTTTTGATAATCGTGGTGGCATTTGTCTTAAACCTCCTCTTGTTGCTTCTACTTTTTTAAAAGCTTCCTCAATAACCTTGTTTATCGTGATCTCCTGACTATCTTCTATCTCTTTACTCCTCATATCCTGCTGCACATTAATCTCAATCGTCTCGTCATTATCCTCCGTTTGCAAAGCTGCAAACCTTGATGGAGTAATCACTTCATCTTGAACCTTTAACATCTTTGGAGATCGACTTGATTTCTCTTGTGACACCTTTTTCCATCCGTTGATAATCTTTTCTTTTGAGCTATCATTTCCACCATCACTAACTTCCTCCATCCTTATTTCCTCCTTCTGTGGACTCTCTTCCATATTTGTCTCCTCAAGTAGATTATCATTACTGACACCTTCATCAATAACTTCTTTTCTTTCTAGATCCTTCCCTCTCCCAGGCATCAGTTCTTCTTGAACATCAACATTCTCCAGAATCTCTCCTTCCTCTACTATCTCTTCCTTACAGAACGTTGCATAGTGACCCCATTTACCACATGTAGAACACTTCGGAGGAAGCCATGGATAAGTAAACTCAATCATCGTCTCTTTCCCTTGAATCGTGAAATTAATCTTCTGTGGAAGCTCCTTAGTAAGATCAGCTTTCACGAAGACTTTCGCAACCTCAAAATCACTGCAAGCCAACGTTTCAGGATGAAGATGATCCGGAGAACCTGCAGCACTAGTGATGAAGCTTAACCCTTCCCAAGAATACATGTTCATAGGCACATTCGTCACATGAACCCATAGAGGTATCAATTTCGCTTTTGACAAATCTTCATCTGGAGACCATTTTGAAACAACCATGGGCACACCCGCAATGTTCCACATTCCTCTCCTAACGACCTTATCCCTAATCCTTGGATTGGCAATCCTCACCCTCATCGTCTTAGCTCCCATCTCATACACATCCAACTTCTGATTCTTATCCCCAAATGACCAGATCTTATTCAAAATTACGTGGACTTTCGCGATATGTGGAGCTTGTTCCAGAAACGATACAATAACAAAGTCCTCCCATAATGGATTTGCTTTCTCCACAATCTCCAACGGAACCTCCACCGATTTCTTACCATCAGAAATCGCGATGTCCAAATCGTACTTCTGGAGAGCCTGTTTCTTCATCGCCACCGCAACATAGGATCTAGCCGGAGGAGGTATAGGAGGAGGATCCTCCTGAGCCTCCGCAGAACTCATCACTGTGCCGGAGAGGACAGCTGAGTTGAGAATCGCCTTTGTCGCCGTAAAAATCGCCAAATCGCCTTAAGAGCAAAACGCATTTTTTGTTACTCTTTTATGTCTAACTACGCATATGTATGTGTGGAATATGGAAGAAGTCCTTTATTCACAGTCTTTGTGTTTGGTTTCAGGTACGTTGATAGCTTTGAATCACTGGAGTAATAGTAGTTATTTTTATTTTCTATGTAAAAATGAAAAAAAAAAAAAAACAAAAAAACAGAGGTGCATTTGTGTAACAAGACGCGTCCAAATATATATAAATATCCTTTTGTTATTGGATCAGTGGAGTACTAGTAGTTTTTTTATTTTCTATGTAAAAACGAAAAACAAAAAACAGAGGTGTATATGTTTAACAAGACGCTTCCAAATATATATAAAGCTCCTTTTGTTATTGGATCAGTGGTATGAATGGCTGTAGAGAGTATAGAATCCTTACTTTTATTTTGTTAATTTCTTGGTTAGCAAGAAACACTCTCTAGAAGATTTCATTAGTTATAACTTCTTTTTTTAACTCTTACGAAAGTATAATATGTAGAATCAGTTCGAAGAAGCCTCTAATACAATGGTCGATCATTGTTTAGCGTTACTATACCAAACAAGAGGCTTAGTAGGAGGGGGGTCAGCTAACTCAGCTTTAATAACGAAATGTTTTTTTTGTTGGCATAGTCATTAGCTTTTGCTTCAATGCCTCGACCTGTCGATATGAAGTTGTATCTCTCTGACTGAAGAAGTTATGTGAACTCTTAGCTAAAAACAGGAAAGGGAATGAGTGATATAGCAATGAGGCATTTAAGGTAAAACAGAAATATATTGTGTAAAATATGTTTGGTTTCAATCGATTACACAGAATCCGACAGAATCAACTGGATTTGGTCAATCGTAGCACTGCATGGATTTTTTTTGGTTATTTATAGTCTTCTGCACATGCTTCATTGCTGTTTTATACCCTTTGTAAATATATCTGTCTGCTTATGTGTATCTGAAGGACAATGAAAATGACATTATGCAAGAACATGTGGAACTTCGGTTCTGTCCTCTATCTCTAATTATCTTGTTGTCTAATCAAACTAACTATGTAGTATACGGAAAATCTTCCTTTTTCCAATACAAAGAATACTAAAATTCTTTTTGTTGTCTATACGCAAACGCAGCTTTGTACAACAGTTGGAATTCATGAATCAGGTTGGGAATCCAAAATAGTTTTATTCTTCCTTGAGAACGTTTCTTCTCATACACTCCTCAACCAGGTAGTCATTTTTTATGGATAATCAAAACTCTTCACAATAGTCTATTATCATTTTCTTTGTTAAAATTCAAGAATCTGTATCATACTATTGTTGATGTTGCTACGTTAGAATTCCACGTAATTTTCTGTTACCAATCAATCGGGAATGGTTTCAATTGACCAATAAAATATACTACGTACAACCAAATGAGATTTAAATATTTTCTGCGTAACTTATACTGTTTTAAATTCGAAATAGCTATTTAAAGTTCGACATTGCTGTCAAGTGGTTAATCATATATTTGGATGATATAAAATAAGAGATTTATTAATTAATTAATTGGAGGAGAAAGCAACGGTTAAACGATATATTGTGTGTAAGGCATATACGTCTTACAAGCAAGATATACTTTCAAAGTGCAAGTAGCAAATAAACAACAGGTAATCAATTAATTAACTATTATGGACTAAGAGAACAGATAAACAGCTTAGCTGCATAGAATTTGCGCGTTTTAAATATATATAAGCTCTCTCTCATATCAAGTACTAAATTATAATTTTAAACTGCTCGTTAATATTAAAAACTTACGGTCAACTTCCGAAGCGGTTGAAGAAAACTATGTCCACACTGCGGTCCAGTCATTAGATCATTATTGGATTATTACAGATGAAAAAATTATATAGACGAAAATTAGGCAATTAGAGAGAAAAGAATGTTTTCGGGTAGACACAAGAACAATATTTGCGAAGAAAATACTAAGAACAGCTCCAACAGTAGTTTTGGCATTGAATTTTCAGATTAAAAGAAAATAACAAAAAAAAAATAGGAGAGATGTAAAATAATATTATGTCATCTGGAACATTCAGAGAATCTGTCATATATACACTTGTCAAAATTAGATGGATTATTCAAAATAAAATAAAACTTAATTAAGTTCATAAATTGTTTTAAAATATTAAAAATATTGATTAGCACCTCCTTTAAAAAGTTGCACCGTTAAAGGTGTTCTTAAATGGACTTTTCTCCCATGTGCCGAGCGGAGGATTCTGTGGGCGCTTGCATCTACCTCATCACTGCCTTTTTGTTTTCTACACAAAAAGTTATATATTAAGAAAAAACAAAACTAGAATCAAACAAATAATTATTTAGTAATAGTTATATACTTTTGGTGTAATTACAAGGTCATTGTATATTTCTAGCTTTTGGGTTGTAGCATATACTTTATTGATTGTCAGTGTTGTATATTCCACATACAAAATTAGTTCCAAAAACAAATCTACTAATATTGATGACAAAAATCCAAACGGGAAGAGGATACGAAGATCATAAAACGCAATTTCCTAATAATACATTGTGTCGAACGTCCCACACATCGTCGATCCGTTTTACGTTAGTCCACCTCACAAGCTCTATAGAACTGAAATCTGAAGATGAATTCAAAAAAGATAAATCTCGGCAACGATGGACACGTGAACGGCGAATGTCCATGCATGATGAGCTCTAAATATCAAGCTATAAAAGAGGATGTTGGTCAAGGAGAGATACTCTTTCCGCATATAACCTTAGTCTACCACTTTTTTTCCTTTTTCAACCGTTTCAACCGCTATTCATCTTTGACTACTTATATATCTTCATCAAGTTTAGTAAATTAAACACACAATTTTCATATTATCTCCCTTTACATTCTTACTTTAGTTCTGTAATATTTAGATGAGATTATTGGCCTCATCAATCAAGTTGCATTGGTAATAATGTGATCAGTTGAAAAAATGCAACTTGGTAGAGATGTGTGATTTTAAAAGTTCAAATGTATATATATACACATTATAGGTTATGGAATTACCATCTTTCTCTTTTGAAAAGAACTATTGTTCCGGAATATGAGGTCGCATTGTATTTGAGACTAAATGATATAATTTCAAACTTCAAAATTTTGACGTAATTAACAAAGAAAAAAAATGTAAAAGGTAAGACGATTAGTTTCTTTCCACCAATATAAGAAGTATTATCTTCTAAGATGTTATAAAAAATAAAAGATTATCTTCTACAGAAAACATAAACCGCCGTAGTACTATAAAAACTGAGCCGGGATATACATAGTTTAGGGCAAATGTTCTATTTAAATAAAAAATACCATAAAAGTCGTCAAATCTATAGTAGGATTAAAGTATTAAACTATTGTTTACAAACCCTAGATTAAGTAACTCATAATATACATTTTATAAGATAAAAATATTATCCTCAATGAGTATTATACGTATAAGCCAATAATATGATCAATACGTATTTAATGCAATATATTGACAGATCACAAATGGAAAAAAAAAAAGCAATAAACTAGTTCAAATCTGTTGACAAGATCTAAAATGACTGGTCGTGAGAGACCAAATTTATATGAATTTTAGAGAAAACTAGGCAGATTGTGGCTAGGATTGTGGGTTGGTGTACGTGGTATATAGATGGTGCAAATGCATACATGTATTTGCTTTGTAGTATATAGTAGCATGCAGTAGCTAGTAGTAGTCATGTGTTTCCTAATCTATCTATCAGAAAAAAACAAATGTGTTTCCTAATCTTCGAAAGAAACATATACACCAATATTACGAGACCAAATATCTCCAAAATATCCTAAGGTTGGCCGCTAAATTATATCTGCCGAAATCTTCTCTCTATACTGCCTAAATGTACATCAATCCATAATCATAACCGTGAGACATGGATTTTGATTAACTAATAGACCTTAATCAATCAAATTTATGTAATTCTTAGTTTTATTTTACAAACCGCCTAGTTTACTAAACTTGCAATTAAAAACAGATTAGACGGTGCAGAGAAAACTACCTAAGATATGTTTTTTTTCTTAACAAACGAAGAAAATCGGGTGGCGACTTGCGAGATTCGCGGATTACTTGAACAAAAAAAAAAAGAAGCAAAAAGTCCACCCTTGTGAAAGTTGACTTATTCAAAGTACTGACGTGGCATTCAGCTAATACAAGACCGTAATTTCACTTCTGTGTTCCTTCCCGGACATATCATTTTATTTTCTTTAATATATTTTCTCTCGTACATATCTCATGAATTATTAAAATTTAATACATAATATTATAATGTCGTAAAATTGATGAAAAAGCTCCAACAGATATTGTCCTGACTCCTAACATAATCAACAAAATTCGCATAACGATATGCATTATAATGTCGTAAAAATTGATGACAAAGCTCTACCAGATATTGTCCTGACTTCTAACATAATTCTTTTCACTTAATTTTTATGTCCAGTACTCACTCTTATTTATACATGTATATTATATCTGCAGACTGCAGTACCTAATTTCGTAGGTGGGTTGTTAATATATATACATAGGTTGAAGATCATCCTTAAAATAGTTATCAACTTGGAATTTATCTTTAAATTCCAATTCTTCCGAACTATTCTTGCAGAGTTTCAGTTAATAATCTACTGAAATTCAATATTACATTGTCAGAAAAGAGATATGCAAGATACACTTTTAGTTGCCAAAGCATGTTATTTTTATAAATACAATACCATAAGTAGATGGTTTAAGCTTTATAACTAAATAAGACAAAAATAGAGAAATGTTGGATATGTATATATACAGGAAGAGCCAAAGTAAATAGATAGTAAAATAGTCAAGAGAGAAAATTTCAAGTTTTCAACGCCCTCTCTTATCATCCGTACATATCCTACATTTCAATATTCAATCTCTCTCTCTCCAGTATCTTTATTGTGTATAAGTAGGATATATTTTCAACTCGTTTATAACACATCTTTATAACCTCTCTCTCTCTCTCTCCTTGGCTCTCTCGCTTTGTGGGTTCTTCTTTTGTGTGTAGAAATAGATATATGCACATACACATAGGAAGATATGATGGGTTACGAGCAGATGAATCAGATGACACTGACAACAACGACGATGATGAAGAATTTCAATAAGGTGGGACCAATCAGTAGTCCACACAAGAAAACGATGAGGAGAAGTGTGTCGGCCATTGATGGTGGTGCGGCGGCGACAGCTCGAGAAGGAGATCACGGCCAGAATCTCGAGACTCTCGATCTTAGCGGCATGTCCTTGGCCTCCCTTCCAGCAACTTCTATCAACTTAGCTTCTATCTCCAAACTTGATCTCTCCAACAACAATATTCAGGTATATATATTGGATCATATCTACTTTTCATCAACCGTTATTACTCAGCTTTGATTAAATTTCGTGGAAAATAAGTTCTTTTTTTTAATGAAAATAGACATTTCTGTCACTATTAAAAAACTTAAACCTTATCAATAACCTTTATAAACCTAAATAAATATTCTTTATGTTAAAAATACTATAACTGTTTGAATTCTAAAAGAGGTGGTCTTTACATAATTCGCTTACAATTTTGTTACTAACGCTACTATATTTAATTATATCAACTAAAATACGTGAGAATAATATAGTTCTCAAGTCGAAAAGGCACAAAACAAAATTATGTGACGAGTATATTGAGAGTCGATAGTTTTCCTGGTTTGTTTATAAGAGACCTGAATGGAGAGGTTAACAAATACTAATATACAACAATTTGTTGGGGCTTTGTGCTCTAGTTAAAGGATTTAATTTTTAAGTGGTTGGAACTAATTAAATTAAAAAGATCGATGCTAAGTTGCTAACCACAGAATAAAGAAATGATAAAGATCGTAGATAAAATCCCTACTACATCTGCATGATTCGTTGTATTCCTTAATTTGTGGGTTTGGTCATTTCCTGCTTGAGCCCATAAAAGAAAAAATAATTAAATGTCTATTACGTCTATAACAAAACAAAAGGTGTGCGGATTAAACAAAATTTACCAAAAGTAGCACAACAAAGCAAATTTTTCCAGAAATTTTAAAATCATCTTGGCATCTTGCACATAAAATTTCTTAGCCTATTTGTTTACGTCAACTCGAACCTTAGAAAGCATATTCGTTTTTCTTATTTACTCAACGTCTGGGTGTATAAGCAATTGAGCCACAAGTGTCCATTATTCTTAAGAAAAGTACTCGTGTTCTCGTCAAAATTGTTATATAGTATAATATAATTGATAGCATCAACTATTTGTATCCATGATATTGATTTACTAACTTTTACTTCTGTCGTCGACTCTGCGGTATTATATATGTCTTCTTCCGGGAGGCGGAAGCAATATTGTCTAGATAAAATACGATAAATACCCGTTACCGAAAAGATATTCTCTGATATTTAAATAACACAATATCATTGTTTGTATTGATAAATACCCGTTACCAAAACGATATTCTCTGATATTTAAATAACACAATATCATTGATCAAATACAAACATAACATCAGTTTTAACTTCTAACTCTCTCTTTTATTTTGTTAATAGTTTTAAGTTTGAACTCTTCGAGTATATATAATCAAACTATGAGTCTTGAAGATCATGGGATGAAATCCCCGCCCACTTCAGTGGGTTAGAAAGAATACTAAAATAATTAAAGAATAGAAGGAAATCAAATTAGTTTTCCTTGGGCAAAAAAGAAGTCAAATTAGTTTTTACGTTTTATTTCCAGCTATGACAGCATGCGCAGAAGTCGTTATAGTAGGTTTAAATGATGCTTAGTAGTATGTTCTTATAGCGTTAACATTTTATTAATACCTTATATGAAAACATGGGAATTTGAACGTCTCGAATGCCCAAAATTGAATGTCCATTTGAATAAATACAATAACTTAGGGTTATCTTAAACCTTATATTTTAGCATTCAACAATTTAGTTTCTCGTACAGCAAATTCCGGAATCTCTAGTAGCCAGAATGTTAAACTTGTCGGCATTGGATTTGCACTCCAATCAGCTCAAAACGCTCCCAAACTCCATTGGATGTCTTTCAAAGCTTAAGGTTCTTAATGTCTCTGGAAACAACCTACAAGCTCTCCCCAAAACTATCGAAGATTGCAGGTACTTTTAATATCCTTGTCCTCGCATCGATTTCTCTCATTATTATATCCATATGTACTAAAACGCAGCAAAACGCAGATCGCTGGAAGAGCTGAACGCCAACTTCAACGAGCTGACACTGCTTCCAGATACAATAGGTTTCGAGCTAACAAATCTGACAAAGCTCTCCGTCAACTCGAACAAGCTTGTCCTGTTACCAAGCTCCCTTGGCCACTTGACGTCGCTACGTGTGCTCGACGCTCGGCTTAACCGCCTCGTGTCACTCCCTGAGGATCTAGAGAACCTCGTGAACCTTCAGGTCCTTAACGTTAGCCAGAACTTCCAGCACTTGAAGACGTTACCATACTCCGTTGGGCTACTGATATCTCTAGTGGAGCTTGACGTTAGTTATAATGGAATTAGGGTTTTACCGGACTCCATCGGCTGTCTCCGCCGGATTCAGAAGCTCTCCTTGGAGGGTAATCCCCTCGTCTCCCCACCTTTTGAAGTGGTATGCACAATTTATCTTACTTTTACTATGCTAAATAATTAACTTCTTTAAAAAAAACTATTAATAATTATTAATTTATTTTCTTATCTTTGACTAAAAGCGACATTTTATGCTATAATAATATGATCTATTTTAATTTCTTATATAGTCGATATTTAATAAAAATGCATTCCGCAGAAAAAATATAATACAGAGCTTGGCTTGCCTCACAAGCGATGCTATCTGTAGTGTGTAAGCAAACGCAAGTATGATATTTATTTGAAGTAATAGTTACATTTTGGATATAATATTTGTTAGGTTGTAACGCTGATTAAGATAATGCATGCGTTTAATGCACTACGGAATCAATTAACATTACAAAATAAAATTGAGTGATGTGAATAGATCAATAACATATAATGAAAGTTTGTGAATATAGTTTATGTTTCATGATCTGACACAACAGGTGGAACATGGTTTGGAAGCAGTGAAGCAGTACATGAGCGATAAGATGACGGAGTCTAACAATAAAACTCCTACGAAGAAAAATTTGTGGGGCATTGGTAAGATGGTTAAGTACAAGACCTTTCACGGCTTCATCTCATCTCCTGGAAGGTCTCCAGGAAGGTCTCCAGGAAGAAGAACCAGCAGTGACCGCCATGGAGAGGAGAGGGAAGGCTTCATCAACGTCTCCGACTACCGCCAAATCGACGGACTAGCTTCTCCGAGACACATGTCCCTCTTCAACCCGCGTCGCCTTTTGTCTCCACTCTCCACGTTTTTCTCTCCTCCAAGGTATTAGCTAGGGTTACTTTTATCTTCACCAAACCGTCTTCACTTTTTTTTTGCATGCAACTTTGTTTCTTTTGTATGTATTTTTTGCATGTTTGCATGTAGCGTTCTCTTTCTATGTATCATAGACTTTTGGGTGGCTTTTGTGGCTGTGTTTTGTTCAACACATGTAAATTATGACATAGACTTGTAGACTGATTCATGTATGTACTATGTAATAATGAAAAAAAATGTATGTAATAATGTATACCATTTTGAAAATATCAGCCGTAGTATGCAGATATGGGCCTAGTTAGACATTTGATTTGAGCAAATTCTTTTACCAGAAAGAATTATTTTCTATCCACTATGTTCTGAAATACATTTAGGAGATGTTATATGGCTTGTGAGAGAATTATTTGGGAAAGAGAGTAATATTTTCATATACAAGATATTAGCTGGATAAACAATAATATTAAACGTCTAGGTCTTAATATACTCCCTCTGTTTCAATATAAGTGTCACTCTACAGCTATGCACACGGATTAAGGAAACAATTAATTTTACATATTTCCTATATAAAAACGCAATTACCCATACACCTAACCATATTTTAACCAATAGAAAAACAAATTACATAATAAAATTAATAAATTTTGCATTGAAAACTGAAAACGACACTTATTTTGTAACACAAAAAATTCTCTACAACGACACTTAATATAAAACGGAGGGAGTATATTGTAACCATATTACAAATTAGCCCGGGAGGAAAAATACATAGGGCTTCTTTAGGACGTCAAGACAAAGAGCTTAAAACACATTAAGCTACACCATCTCATATGATTATAACGTGTTAGTTAAAAATAATTAAAAGCACAAATTATAATTATTTTCTTTGAGAGACCCATATTCATTGATAAAAAAATAAGAAAAAGGACCCTCTGGTTCAGTTCAAGGGTTTGCTCTTGAATTTCCTCTGAGGCTTCAAGTCAACAACCACCACAGTTATGTTGTCTTTGCTTCCTCTCTGTAAAGCTAGCTTTGACAAGTACTCAGCCGCAGACATCGCCGCCGGATCTTTTCCTTCCCCTCTCCTCTCATCCGTGTGCAACGACGCATCTCCAGCAACAGCGTTCTTCTTGTGCCACAAGAGAATACGCTTCCGCGCCATCTCACACGCTTCCTCATCAGTCATTACATCCCAAACACCGTCACTTGCTAGAATTAGACAGTCATCTTCTTTGACTCTCCTCACGGCAGTTACTTCCGGATCAGGAATGATTGATGGTTTTAAGTATCTATCGCCTGTCACACACACAATACAATGTTTGTAAGAAAAAAATGTTTCTATTTTTAGCAAAAAAAAGTTTATATTTCAAGAACCATTGAATATTTACTGACAAATAAAAGAAAGTTTACCAATAGATCTTGACATGGCGAGAACACCGAACACACGAGCTCCGTTCCACCGGATCACTTTCCCTCCGGCGGCTTCAATCCTCGCCGCTTCATCTTCTCTATCCGGCTACAAAAATTATACAAACATACATCAGAAAAAAGGATCCACAAAAAAACTCTTTAAATTATTTAAGCAACAAAAAAAATCTCTAAAATTAACATATTGAGAATCAAGAACCTAAAACCAATCTAACTAAAGAACCAAACTGTTTTTTGTCGGAAAATAGAGAGAACTTATGCTTTACTTTGTGGTCAGTAGACAAAGGGAGTGCACTTTTGCCGCGGCAAAGAACAGCTCTAGAGTCACCACAGTTAGCTACAAAGATATGAGTCGGAAAAACAACGGCAACCACCGACGTTGACCCAACAGTCTCCGGAGCAACCGCCTCCACCTCCTCGTCAACGCGGAGAAACGAGTTGAACAAAGCCCTCTTCCACTTCTCCTGCCACGTGTCACCGTCACAGAGCACAGGCTTCTCCTTCGCAATCTCCTCCGCTAAAGCCAAATGCATCCTCTCTGCGCAATAATTCGCTACCTACACAACACACAAAGATCTCAGCTTTTTTTGCAATCTGAATAAAAACAGAGGAGATCTATTGATTTGATGTGTTTACCTGAGAACCACCATGACCGTCGTATACACCGAAGAAATGAGCGGTTGTCTGAGGATTAAACCGACCATCTAACAACGAGTTTGTCGGAGATTGGAGGAATCTCGGTATCGTGGAGACAGCATCTTCCATCTCAGGTCTTCTCCCACAGATCGAAGTCACACCGTACAGAGGAACACTCTTGAACTCGAACAGACTCCTACTCTCTGTTCTGCTTATCATCTTCTTCGATCTCTCATCTGCGCCGTTGATCTCAACTCCGGAGACTATCTCTGACGATGATGATGATGATGAGTCCTTCATGTTTAAGTTTGGTGAATTGATCCGAGAAGACAAAACTTTCCTAGACCCAGAAACAGAGCAAGAGCCGTTCTCTGAATCTTGTGACGAGTATTGCCCGTTGCAGTAGCCTTTACCCAACATGATCCCTGCTAACTCCATCTGGGTTTCAGGGAACGGCATGAAAGGCATAGTAACGGTGGGTGATACTTCCTCCATTGATGCTCTGTTTTTTTTTTGAAATTTTGGTTAAAGGTTTGAGCTTTTTTTTGTTTTTTTTGGTTGGTTGTAAAGATGGGTTGATGTATTAATGGAACAAAAAATGAAAATTCGACAGATTTCTACAGAAAGAGATCGACTTTTTATTAGAAGTTAAGCAGACAAGAATCCCATGATACACACTAAAACTTTCCCGGGAAATTTTTTTTAAAAAAAGATTGAATGAATTGAATTTTCAATGGTTTCCTGGATTGTGGGTAACTAGTTACAGCCTCTTAAAGATTGTATCTCTATCTCTCTCTTTCTTCAATTAATTTTTCCAGCTAGAATTGTTTCTAGATTCAACTGCCTAGAAGTTGAAAGAAGACTCTTTCCTTCTTCTTCTTCTTCTTCACAGATTAAATAGGGAAAGAAAGAACGAAAGTGGAGATAGGTATGCAAGAGGCAAGAATCCCTTCAAATCTGCTATTTATCTTTACTAACTTAAATAGATATTTGTTTTATCTTTATTCTATTACATTATAAAAAGCTGATGTGTGTTTTTTAATTATTGTTGTTTTATTGTTTTTTGTAATAAGGGGAGATGTTTCGTTCTTGAAATTTTAAAATCAGAAAAAGACACCTGCTTTTTTGGTATTTTTTTCTTTCATTGTTCGTATTCTTGCCACTTTTAATAATTTGTACAAAAAAGATGTTGAATCATCAAATTTCTGAAACCAAATATTCTAAATATTTGATTTTTGTCCGACTAAATAAGTTTAGCTTTCTAGACTTTAGTTAGGTTATCAGTTTAATAAGTTTCAATTGCTTTAATTAGGTGGCTTTCACTATAATACGTTGTCACACTCGAATTTGAGTATTGTCATTTACAAAACGTTGCTTTGTCATTAACAAATTTTATTCGTTACTATCATATTTATTATGTACAATTAAATAAAGAAAAACAATTAAACTTCTACGACCAAAAAAAAACAATTAAAACTATCATTATCAGTATGAGAATAATATTTGTATCCATATAAATAAGATAAGAAAAGAATTAGATGTTCTTATATTCTGGAAAAATGGAAGACCACCGGTATAATATCTAAATAATTCTAATTTAATGGGAATCATCTTCATTATTCGTCAAAGAATTTAAAACTATATATCTTAAAACTAATTTGGTCAAACTTAAAACCTAAATCATTGTTTGTATGTATATGTTGGCATGGTAACAAACAAACCATCATAACCTAGATTATTCAATCTTAATTATTTAAAAGTTCATATAGCCTTGGAATGATTATGCAGAGCTGAAAGAAACTGGTCTTTGTATTTTCCTGAAAAATATCAAGAAAAAAAAATCGCTCTTGCAACAAGAATACGTTAAATCTACGTGCAATCATTTTCTTTTGAATTAGCTCACAAAATAATGGTCGAAATCCATTAAATCAAACCATTATTATTCATTTGTATTGACCAAAAAAACTGAACATAATTATATGTGTTGTTTTGCAATACAGAAAATAGAAAATGATTCCGGTTGTAGTTTATGATGATGACTCATCATGGACATAATTGAGCAGCGAACCAAGAACATGAGAGAATCCGTCAATATTATAAAATATATAAATTCAAATGTGAATATTAATGGGTCCACGATTAACAGAAACCTGTCGATGAGCGACACGTATGGGAAGAAAAGTCCAGTTTTGGTGAACAAGAGGGGATGACGTGTACGGTCGGAGATGTGTTAGTTGGGTGGCGGGAGAGATGGAGAAAAGAAAGGTTCATTGCACCACTGAAAAAGACACACCTTTTAATTCCGTAAATATCTTGTCTTTCAACTCTATTTTTTTTGTATTTTCCCTTTCCTATTTTCTTGGTTCTTTAATATCTTAAATAAATAATATTATATTGGCTATCAATAGTAGGCCTAATCAACAGAACGTTACTATAAAAATCAATTTTCCAGTTCCATATGTCTTATGCCACTTGTGTTGCATTCTTTGGATAATGTGTAAACGATATGTTATTCGAAAAGGAAATGTGGAAGTTGGTTCTGGATTGATGGGCAACTGCAAAATACCCAAGACATATCAGATTCAGTGAACCAATCATCTACTATATATAGTAAATATAATAGCAAGTAGATACAATATTTGGAATCAACATATGCTTAGATAAAATTATGAGAAGGTGGCCAAGAAAACATGGATAGTGGATATTTTGGTTAATGTGTTGCTTGTTTATGTTAATCTTTAGCTTTGCTTGCGGGCAATGCGGTTAAGGGAAAAAGTAGGGTTGCTCAACTCGTAATTAAAACATGACTAAATCAAAGAAAGGTATTACTACTATATATCATTAATTAATTTTGTATGTTCGTTGCATTATTAATGAAGGAGTAATGGGGGGGGGGGGGTGTATTACTATTATATTATTACATCCATACACATCATCGATGCCTCCCATTTTCTGGGTGAAACAGACTATTCGATTCTTGTGATATGGAACATACTCTTCTTGTCTCCATTAACAACAGAAAAACTTGTTTTATTTCAACTCTTCAGTGTTTTTACTTTGAGCCCACAAATTCATGACACCATCATAAAGTAAATGGACCACATTCTAAGTAGTGTTTCTGTGAGCATCAATTCATATCAATTATTATTGTGATGTGTTTATTCAGAGAATCATTACGTATAATAATCCAAGTACTAACTACCAATCAGTGTGTATCAATTATGCTAGTGTTAACCATTCCTGCATGCGGTCGATTACCATATAGAAATTTTGAGAGCTTTGAGAGATAATTATTAAAGCGCCAATGTTATATATTCTTTCCTATGTTTAAATTCATCACAGCGACATGTGTCTTTCATAATTTGATTTAGTCTGATCTTAACATGAGAACATTCGTTAGCAAGTCAATATACGCAAAAGTCTACTGGAGAGAAATTTGACTAAATTAGCAAGGGATTCTTGATTTGACAATTCAAGATAGTGTGTAGAAGGTAATTCAATGCCTTGGACATGTGAGAATCAGAAAACTCTTAATGGGCCAGTTTGTTGTAGTGGGTCTTGACTGAACAACACAAACATGCAAACAACACTTTGAAGAAGCATTAAGCGTCGTTACTTGTTAGTATCATGAGTTGTTTAAAAATCTACTCGTTTACTTGGACCAAGTACAACAAGCCTGTTACAGTTGACTTGACTTTATGAATCAACCTTCACCTAATCTTTATGATGATCGACCATGAGAAGCAATGATTAACTAAAAACTAGTCTGCTCGGAGAGAGGAAGTAAAGAAAGAGAGATAAATCTTCCAAATGGAGTGCATCTCATCTCTACTCGTGGGCTTAGCTCAGGTGTTGTGTGAATCTATGAATATGGCAGAGAGAAGAAGAAGACATAAGACTGATCTTAAGCAAGCCATCAGTGATCTCGAAACAGCCACAGGTGAACTGAAAGCCATACGTGACGACCTGAATTTACGCATCCAACGAGACAATCTAGAGGGTCGGAGCTGCACAAACCGTGCCAGAGAGTGGCTCAGTGCTGTGCAAGCAGCAGAGGCAAGAACAGAATCGATACTAGCGAGTTTTATGCGTCGGGAACAGAGGAAAAGAATGCGGAGAAGATGTCTCAGTTGCTTAGGTTGTGCCGACCACAAACTGAGCAAGAAGGTTTTGGGGACACTTAAGAGCATCGGTGAGTTGAGACAACGCTCTGAAGATATAAAAACAGATGGTGGGTTGAATCATGAGACTTGTACGGAGATACCGACGAAGTCCATGGTTGGGACTACCACGATGATGGAACAGGTGTGGGGGTTCCTCAGTGAAGAGGAAAGAGGAATCATCGGGGTTTATGGACCTGGTGGGGTTGGGAAGACAACGTTAATGCAGAGCATTAACAACGAGCTGATCACGAAAGGTCATCATTACGACGTACTGATATGGGTTACAATGTCCCGTGAATTCGGTGAGTGTACAATTCAGAAAGCTGTTGGAGCGCGGTTGGGTTTATCTTGGGATGAGAAGGAGACAGGAGAACACAGAGCTTTGAAGATATACAGAGCTTTGAAACAGAGACGGTTCTTGTTGTTGCTTGATGATGTTTGGGAAGAGATTGACTTGGACAAGACTGGAGTTCCACGACCTGACAGGGAAAACAAATGCAAAGTGATGTTCACCACACGGTGTCTGGCATTATGCAGCAAGATGGGTGCGGAATGCAAGCTGAGAGTGGAGTTTCTAGAGAAGCAATACGCGTGGGAGCTCTTCTGTGATAAAGTTGGGAAAAGAGATCTTCTGGAGTCACCCTTGATTCGCCGGCACGCTGAGACGATTGTCAGTAAATGCGGTGGATTGCCACTAGCGTTGATCACTTTAGGAGGAGCCATGGCTCACAGAGAGACTGAAGAAGAGTGGATTCATGCCAGTGAAGTTCTGAACAGATTCCCAGCAGAGATGAAAGGTATGGAATATGTATTTGCCCTTTTGAAATTCAGCTACGACAATCTCGAGAGTGACCTGCTTCGAACTTGTTTCTTGTACTGCGCTTTATTCCCTGGAGAACATTCTATTGAGATCGAACAACTTGTTGAGTACTGGCTTGGAGAAGGCTTTCTCATTAGCTCCCATGGCGTTAACACTATATATAAAGGATATTTTCTGATTGGAGATCTGAAAGCGGCATGTTTGTTGGAAACTGGGGATGAGAAAACGCAGGTGAAGATGCATAATGTTGTCAGAAGCTTTGCGTTATGGATGGCATCTGAACAGGGAACTTATAAGGAGCTGATCCTAGTAGAGCCAAGAATGGGACTCACTGATGCCCCTAAAACAGAGAGATGGCGACATGCGTTGGTGGTTTCGTTGTTGGATAACAGACTCCAGAACTTGCCTGAAAAACCCATATGCCTGAATCTGACAACACTGATGCTCCAACAGAACAGCTCTTTGAAGAAGATTCCGACAAACTTTTTCATGCATATGCCTGTTCTTAGGGTCCTTGACTTGTCCTTTACAAGTATCACTGAGATTCCACTGTCTATTAAGTATTTGGTGGAGTTGTATCATCTGGCTCTATCAGGAACAAAGATAAGTCTGTTACCCCAGGAGCTTGGGAATCTTAGAAAGCTGAAGCATCTAGACCTACAAAGAACTCAGTTTCTCCAGACCATCCCACGAGATGCCATATGTTGGCTAAGCAAGCTCGAGGTTCTGAACCTATACTACAGTTACGCTGGTTGGGAACTGCAGAGCCTTGGAGAAGATGACGTAGAAGAACTTGGATTTGCCGACCTGGAACTCTTAGAAAACCTCACCACATTGGGTATCACTGTTCTCTCACTGGAGAGCCTGAGAACACTCTACGAGTTTGGCGCCTTGCATAAATGTATACAGCATCTGCACGTCGAAGAGTGCAATGGTCTCCTCTCCTTCGATCTCTCATCACTCTCTAACCACGGTAGAAACTTGAGAAGACTTGGCATTAAAAGTTGCCATGACTTGGAGTACGTGGTCACACCAACAGATGTTGATTGGCTTCCAAGTCTAGAGGTTCTGACGTTACACAGCCTTCAGAAACTAAGCAGAGTCTGGGGAAATTCTGTAAGCCAAGAGTGTCTGCGGAATCTCCGTTGCATTAACATTTCACACTGTCACAAGCTGAAGAACGTCTCCTGGGTTCCGCAACTCCCAAAGCTAGAGACAATTGACCTGTTCGACTGCAGAGAGCTAGAGGAACTGATTACTGACCATGAGAGTCCATCCATTGAAGATCTAGAAATGTACCCAGGCCTGAAGACTTTGTCAATTAGGGATCTCCCAGAACTAAGCAGCATCCTTCCATCTCGATTTTCTTTCCAGAAACTAGAAACTTTAGTCATCATAAATTGCCCCAGAGTGAAGAAACTACCATTTCAGGAAAGGGTCCAGACAAACTTGCCAGTAGTTTACTGTGATGAGAAATGGTGGGAGGAACTGGAACAAGATCAACCAAGCAAAGAGCTTTGTTGTTCACCACGTTTTGTTCCAAACTGATATGAGACCTAGGAGCACTCTATACATTCAACATCTGCCAGTAATGTACATGAAAACAAATGAATGTTAATTATTTTGCAAGAGAAATATTAAGAGCTCGAGTACCCTTTACCAACACTGTTGCCTGTAACATGTCGCTTTAGAGTAAATAAGTGAACAAAACAAAGCAGCCACAGAAGCTGATTCTTACCAGATTATGGAGAATGAAAAATATAGCAAAACATGTCATGTAGAATGCAAAAACAGAACTTAGAAAATGGAAACCAGATTAAACGGCATCAGAATGACTAGAAACCTGAGAATGTTATCGATCAAACTTGCAAAAGTTTCAAATTCGCACTGCCAACAGCTTAAATAAGTATCACTATCCCATACGAAAGGAGTTCAGAGACAAAAGAAAGGAAAAAGAAACCCAAAACTCCAGCTGAGTTCAGTCGAACATGGCTCACAGGAGCACCAGCCCAAGTTCGGATGGCTTTACGGCGCTTCTTAGACGATAATTGTAGAGATAATAGTGAAGCTGCCCATCTCCTGGCCCAAACTTCAGCTCTTTGAGGAAACTCTCATTGTGCATAACATCCAATGCATTGAACACATCAAAACCCTTCTGTTTGGCTACAATTAGAGCATCATTCATCAGCTGAAGAAAAGTCGTCTTTGTTGCCACATTGTAGTACGAATAAGCAGCTTTCAGTGTTGAATAGTTGGGGTTTCCAAGAATTGTTGAAGGAAGAGTGTAGAAACTGCAGAAGTCGGTAACATCATGGGTCTCAGGGCTTTCTACAAGGTAACTGTCCACAACATCCTCCCTCGGGAGAAGCCAGTGCTCAACATCATTCTCATCAAAGTCTGTAGCAACAACAAACTGACTAAGATAATTCCTGAGCAACCGTGTCACAGCAGGGACATCACAAGGTTCCATTTTCCTAAACCCAGGAGTAACTGGTACATCTGGTAACTTGTACAGCTTAATGGTCCTGCTCATTGTCATTCTTGCACCAAGCCTTGAAAATCCGACATCAATAAGCTTCTTCGGGTTCAAGGTCCTGTGCCAATACTGGCAAGTCGAAACCGGCGTCGGAAGCACAACCCCAGCAGTGTAAGCTGCTTGCCAAATATTCTCCAAATGAACCCTCCTCGTAACCTCCTTAATCATAACAGGTGCAAGCCTCTTCGACCTAAGCTTCTTATGAACGCACAAGAAATTAATCTCCGCCATTTTCACAACATCGTCACGCACCCTGATCCTAGCTGGCACGCCGCTGATGAACGCCACAAGCTTCTTTGACACCTTGGCACGAACTCCTATATGCCAGCTCTGATAGTACCCAGGTGGACGCAGAGCCCAACTCAGAAACTCCTTAGAGTAATTGAACCTGAACATATTCTCATCATCCTCGACATAGTTGTTCTTAAGAAGGTTGTAAACCTCTGAGCATACTTCATCAGACTTCATATCACAGGTGGTCCATTCATAAGCAGCAGGAAGATTGTAAGGCTCCTGCTTGACCTCAGACAAGGGTGTCGCAGCCTCAATGGGACCTTCAGGGAGGCTCGTGTCACCGATATCTTTGAACTGTCCCACAGGTTGAGTCTCCCAAAACTTGTGTGTTTTCTCCACTGACATAGAGTCCTGGAATCTTCGGACTATAGACTCCAGAGAAGCATCGTCTCCAGCGAATGGAGTCACTTCAGTAACTTGATCTGCTTTCTCTTCCAGAGAACCGGGATTTGAATTTTCGTCTCCCATTTCCTGAAAATTATACAGTAATTAATGAAACTATACGCATGATGGATGCGTAAACACAGTAATCTAAATCAAGTTTTCATGAATTCGAAGCTAAATCGAGGCAAAATCTTCGTAAGAAAATTATCAATGCATAGTTAGCTACTCCTTTATCAGATCTTCCTCTAGCTATATGATATCACGCTTAATCACAACGATATGGAGCGTACGGAACAAGAGATTCTTCGAGCGTTAATGTTAACGAGAGTCAAGGAACTAGCTAAGAGAAGTATCCGTAAGCAACTCAGATCTCATGAGACGAATATAAAAAACGAAAACGAGGATCGCCTAAAACTCACCGATTATCGTTGAACAGAGATGGATCACGACTCGCTCCGATTCGTTTCCGTGAAGAAGAAATACAGTTAACAGATCTCGTTAGCAAATCTCCGAGTCGTCATAACAGATTAGGGTTCGAGTGGGAACAGTGAGAAAGCTACTCGATGGTATCAATTCTTCTATATTTGCGAATGGGCATCTTTTACTTTTAGTTTTTGCAATTAAGGTCCAAGACTAATAGATAGTTTACGATTGTTCCCCTTATGTTACGAATTTGCACTCAAGACCAATTTCAGGTGGATTTAACATTTTAACTCGACTGTATTCAAACTTTCGTAGTGTAATTAAGATGAAAAAAAACATGAGGTCGTTTGACCAATAGGGTGCAAGTACAATTAAATGTGTTATTATTATTTATTTAGTGGTGGTGGTGAAACTTGTCGTCGGAGACTTGAAGATTATCAATGCCTTTAATGGCTGATTCGTAGTGTCTTCTTGTGGAGGAAGACCTCTTCCCAGCCTCCACAGGGGAGTTCCTCGAGATTACTCCTCCTCGGCTTACGTCACCTGCACGGCTTCTCTGAAACTCTTCCCCGCTTAAAAGATTGTCTCGGCTGCTACTCACTGCCGCTACTCTCCTAGATGATCCTGCTGATTGTGCAAACATCGAGGAGCTCGGCATCTGCATCACAAATAAATTGAACAAAGTTGAATACAAAAAAAGTGATAAGATCTTTTGTTTTAACTCATTTCTCTATGTCTTACAACACAAGTTAGGTTCATACCATGGATTCTCTGTTAAATGATGATGTCTGTTGGTTCGAGAGATTCCCTGAGTGGTCAAGAGTGCCTGAAGCTCTCCGTCGAGATGATTCCATATGGGAGTAACCAACAGGTCGTCCTTCTTCCTCGCCTTGGATACAACAAGGAAGACACTATGAATGCTAAGTTCTGTGTAGAGAGAATGATAATTATTACATTTTACCTGTGTATCTATCAATGTTTGAAACGCCTGGAGGCAATGCGGCGCTAGTTCCAGCCGTAGGGTTCTGTAGAAGAAGAAGAGAATCGATCAAGAAATGGTCCAACAAAAAGAGATAAGATTAACCGAAAACACATAATTCATACTTACGAGATTACGAGAAGGAGGAGCGGTTAGTTGTGATTGTTGGTACTTCAAGATGGTCCAGTCAAACACGTAATCAAATTGAAATCCTGCGACACAGAAAATGTAATCCTCTTAGAAAAATGAATTTGGTTTGTTCAGAGGGAGAGATGATTTTCAAACCTTCACGGATAAAGAGATCTCTGAATATCCTTTTGAGATAAGCGTAGTCTGGTTTGTCATCAAAACGAAGCGACCGACAGTAGTGGAAATAGGATGCAAATTCTGATGGGTAACCACGGCATAAGACCTACAAGGCGATGATATATGAATCAGATCAAGACAAGGTAAAAAAACAGCAGCATGCTTGTGAAAAGGACTTTACTTCAATGGATGTGGAAACTTTCTTTTCGCTAATCCTCTCGTACTTTTGTTTCTTGTTTCCAGCTTTCAGTCCTTGCCATGGAAGACTAAAACCGAGATGTTCCACATGTCATTACAATGAAAGAGTAAAAGAAAATGAAGTGGAGTCAAGCATGTAGCAGAAACTCACCTTCCTTTAAGGAAATACATAAGGATATAACCAAGAGACTCAAGATCATCCCTTCGGCTTTGTTCTTGAGGTTCAACAATGGCAGAAAACAAATAAGTGTCAAATCTTGATAATCAAACATGTAAGGAGAGAATCCGGATTATAAAAATGTGAAATGAGGTTTTGTCGAGTTTACCGATTCCCAAGTGGGTGTTCATACTAGCGTAACGTGCAGTTCCTGTCAGGTTCTTGTTTTCTCTGCGAAAGGGTCACAGGATAATTAGTGATTTCAATTTTCACATAAAGACGACATCATGTTCTAAGTAAGAACATTCAAGAGGTGATATAATGATATGGCCTCACCTGTAGGGAATGTGCTGATGTGTTGTACTATCCCTGTACTTCTTAGCTAGACCAAAGTCGATGATGTATACCTTATAAAAGGAACAAACGAATAATCAATCCAATGATGTCCTCAAATGTATATACCAGGTAGGGTATAACCGTATAAGATGAGAAACCTGGTTGGCACGCCTTCCAAGGCCCATGAGGAAATTGTCTGGCTTGAGATCTCGGTGAAGGAAAGATTTTGAATGGAAAAACTCAACACGGTTGATCTTAACACAAACATACAAAAAAAAAGTGAATTATTACTAAAAAAACAAGCAAAGTGAAAGATAAGCATTACAGGAAGACAAAGATGTTTACCATTTGATCTGCAAGCATGAGGACCGACTTCAAGGAAAGCTTTCTGCTACAGAAATTGAAGAGATCTTCAAGACTCGGCCCTAGTAAATCGATCACCAAAACATTGTAGTCCCCTTCAACACCGTACCATTTGACATTTGGCACACCAGCTATAACAAAAAGTTAAAACGCAACAAATAGGTCAAAATAAACAGAAAAGAAAAAAAAAAACAGGAATCACAAGCTCATAATCGGAAACACAGATTAAAGAAGATAAGGAATCATTACTTCCTCCTTGTAGAATCTTGTATAACTTCGATTCATAAAGCAGCTGAGGATGTTTTGTCTTTACACTTTCCTGAGAAAAACAAAAAGGTCCAAAATCAGAAGCTTTCAATAAACATAACATGATCAAACAAACCCATGTCGTGACAGGAATGTTACTAAATAGATCAAATTATTAAAATGACGAATCACATTCAACATTAATCAAATTCAATTCAGAAACTCACAAACTTGATTGCAACTTCTTCATTCGTTTGAATATTAGTACCTGAAAAATCACAAACAATGCATCAATGTCAACACACAGAAAGAAAGAAATTCGAGAATACAAAAAAAGAAAGAAAGAGAGTGACGAACCCAAATAGATCTCCCCGAAGGAACCGCTACCGATCTTCCGGCCAAGACGAAACTTGTTTCCCACACGAGATTCCATCAACGAAACCCTAATTTACAATCTCAACCCAAAAAAAAGCAGATTCAAAACCCAATAGCTGTGAAGCCTATGATCATCATCTTCCTCATTTCGATCTGGAGAAAAACAATCCAATCTCAACGGAATGTCGTTTCTTAGACGCTTCTCTCTCTCTCCTACTAAGAATTGAAAACGACAGCTTTGATGGACAGAGAACACGATGAGGATGTTTTTTTTTACTCCTCCTCCTGAAATTTGAAAAAAAAAAAAAAAAATCTGTGTTTTCTTTTCTGTTAATAGATTCTGGTTCTGTCCGGTTTAGTTTTGTAATCACATTGGGTTATGATCCGGTTAAGAAAAAGATTCTCAAAAAATTGCCTTTTCGGGAAACTTAACCGGTAGTCTCTCGTGTAACAGGAACAACCGTCGATGCTTCTTCATCTCTTCCATCTTCTTTCTCCCTCGTTGACTTGGCACTCTAACTACGCAGCAGGTCTCGTCAATAGTTTATCTTCTTTGCCGTATCGATCTCAAGTCATTCGATTCTTTAATCTCTCTCTCTCCTTTTCTTTTTCTACCACAAGCGATCCTCTGACTCGTTGATGGACACCATTTCTGGATTCGATGATTTCTACGAAATCAGCAGCACTAGCTTCCTCGCCGCACCGGCACCAACCGATAACACCGGATCATCCACCATTTACCCTACTACAGACCTTCTCACCAAACCCGAGGTCTCTGCGTTTCAACTCCTCTCAGACAGCCTCGAGTCTTTATTCGACTCCCCGGCGGAAACGTCCTACAGCGACGCGAAGCTTGTCCTCTCCGATGACCGTGAAGTCTCCTTCCACCGTTGCATTCTCTCCGCGAGGAGCCCTTTCTTCAAGGCAGCGTTGGCGGAAGCCGAGAAGGAGCAGAAATCCACACCCGTGAGGCTCGAGCTGAAGAAACTCGCGACGGGATACGACGTAGGGTTCGATTCCGTGGTGGCGGTTTTGGCGTATGTTTATTGCGGGAGAGTGAGGCCGCCTCCGAAGGGTGTTTCTGAATGCGCAGACGAGGGTTGCTGCCACGTGGCGTGCCGTCCGGCTGTGGATTTTATGGTGGAGGTTCTCTACTTGGCTTTCGTGTTCCAGATTCCGGAGCTGGTTACTATGTATCAGGTAATAATAACACGATCTGCTAGTGTTTGTTCAGACAGAACACGCTTGATGTCGTTTAGCTTTATTGTTCAGAGAGAACGTTTGAATTAGTTTAGCTTTTTTGTTCAGACGAGAACAGTTGAAGTAGTTTAGCTTTATTGGTCAGACAGAACTGAACACACTTGAATTAGTTTAGTTTTACTGTTTAGATGAGAACATTTGAAGTAGTTTAGCTTTATTGGTCAGACAGAACACACTTGATTTAGTTTAGCTTGTTCAGATGAGAACAATTGAAGTAGTTTAGCTTTTTTGTTCAGACAGAACTGAACACAGTTGAAGTAGTTTAGTTATTTTTAAAACTATGTCTATTTGCATTTTGCAGAGGCATTTACTAGATGTTGTAGACAAAGTCATCATAGAGGACACTTTGGTCGTTCTCAAGCTTGCTAACATCTGTGGTAACGCGTGCAAGAAGCTATTCGACAAGTGCAGAGATATCATCGTCAAGTCTAACGTGGACGTTGTTAGTCTCAAGAAGTCATTGCCTGAGGACATTGCGAAGCAAGTAATCGCTATCCGTAAAGAGCTTGGCTTGGAGGTGTCTGAGCCAGAGAGACATGTCTCGAACATACACAAGGCGCTTGAGTCAGATGATCTCGCCCTCGTCGATATGCTTCTGACAGAGGGACACACGAATCTAGACGACGCCTATGCTCTCCATTTCGCTGTGGCGTACTGCGATGTGAAGACCGCGACGGATTTAATAGAACTGAAGCGTGCTGATGTCAACCGGAGAAACCAGAGGGGGTACACGGTGCTTCACGTTGCTGCGATGCGGAAAGAGCCAACGCTGATAGCATTGTTGTTGACGAAAGGGGCTAATGCTTCGGAAATGTCTTTGGACGGGAGAACTGCTCTCTTGATCGCGAAACAAGTCACTAAGGCGGCAGAGTGTTGTATTCTGGAGAAAGGCAAGTTATCTCCTAAAGGTGGAGTATGTGTGGAGATACTGAAGCAACCAGATAGCAAACGAGAACCCTTTCCTGAAGACGTTTCTCCCTCTCTTGCAGTAGCTGCTGAAGAACTCAAGATAAGGTTGATCGATCTTGAAAACAGAGGTATAGGTTCTTCACCGCTCATTTGAATAAAGTGAACTAATAATGATAGCTAACTTTTCTATGTACTATGCAGTTCAAATGGCTCAATTTTTCTTTCCAATGGAAGCACAAGTGGCAATGGATATCGCCCAAGTCAAGGGAACAAGCGAGTTCATGACAGCACCGGACATATACATGGGACCTTTCAAGTTCCTAGAAATGCATCGGAGTAGACTAGCAGCTCTTTCAAGAACTGGTATTGATCCTTAAACATATGGTTATATAACTGAAACAAGTCCCTGCCTGACCTTGTTGACTTTTATCTTTTGTATCAATAATCAGTGGAACTCGGGAAACGGTTCTTCCCACGCTGTTCAAAAGTGCTAGATGATATTGTGTACGCTGAGGATTTGACTATACTAGCTTTGATAGACGAAGAGACTCCTGAGCAACGACAACAAAAGAGGAAAAGGTACATGGAAATACATGAGACTCTACAAATGGCATTTACTAAAGACAATGAGGAATTTAAAAAATCGTCTCTCTCAACTTCGTCTTCTTCCACATCAAAAGCAACTGCTAAAAACAGGTCTAAAGCTAAACCTTCTCGCCGGCGTCAGTGAGACTATTTGTTTGGGCTAACATTTGATGTACCATATATATATTTGAGTTATCATGTTTCTTAGTGTCTCTCTGTCTATCGTTGGCTCGGGTCATATAGTTTTGTTCTTCACTTTGCATCCTGTGTATTCCCACAGCGTGTAGGTGTGTCTGAACTTTGAAGCAAAAGCTGTTAACTTTTGGAATCTGTGATATAATTATTTATGTACATCAATAATAAAACCATGATGGTGTTACAGAGTGTTTTAGAGTCAAAGTGCGAAAAAAATGAAGAATGGTTCATGTGCTTGCTAACTTCTACCAAGAACCAACAGTTTCCCTTGCTATCAGGTCTACAAGAATCCAGAATCTTGGAAGAAATGCTCAACGCTTCATGTTGTACATGATTTGGTGAAGGATCAAGTCAAGTGGTTCTTTGCCTCTTTTGGCATCATCTTCTAAAAAGCTGCAACCATCACCGTTATTCACTGAGTTTTCTCCCAGAATCACTACCTCAATTCTTAGTAACCCTGAAGGTCTTTCACCGTATCATCCCTCTTCAAAATACACTGATTGTTTTTTTTGGGAAAATTCAAAACCTCTGTTGCATTAGCAATGGTAGTGTGTCATTTGCAAGTCCTAGTAAGTGTTGGTTGCTGTTTAGGATTATGGTTGAAAGGCTTTGTTTACCAAGCAGATGAAGAAGACATCAACCTTTTGTCTGTCTTTCATTTTCGAGATGACAAAGCCAAACATAGCTTTATCTTTTCATATCGTTGGCCGGTTAGTATCCACGACAGATACGTTATTGGCCCTTTTGGTTACTGCTATGGAATATTCCTTTGTTGAAAACTCATTGAATCAAACGGCGAAGTGTTTAGATGCGTTTTGTAAAACCGGCACGCAGTCTAGACTTCAAGTTGAGGAAAACAGCCATTTCCGAGGAGTAAATACAAATTCATCTTTCGCTTACTTGTTTTAAAAAAAAAAAAATTAATAGAATCTGTATTATAAATTTGACAAGATCTTTTCTTAAGTATAAAATTAATAAAAAAACTGTTATAGTATCTAGATTATAAATTTGACAAGATCTTTTCTAAGTGTAAAATTAAACCGTATAGTATTTATTGCTCTAAACCGTATAGTACTGGTCAGGCAAAAAAGGCAGAAAATCTGATTTTCTAATAAATAAAATTAACAACTTGAAAGAAAGAGAAAAAAAACTGATTTTATAAGCTAAATTAAATTAGAAGGAGTATAAAATTTAATTAAAATGAATTAATAAAATTGACATTAATCAAAAAACAATAATTAATTGGCTAGGTTTATGGTTTTGGTGCGAGAGGATTTAAGGGAAGCCACGTTTTATAAGTCCGCCTCCTAAAAACCCTCCTCCTCTCTCTTATCTCTCTCCTCTCCCTTGAGGCAATTCCTTTCAAACCTCCAAAAATCCTCAGAAAACAATGAGCAACGACAAGGACAACTTCAACCTCGCCAACATAACCGCCGGTAAGACTTCCCCCCTCCCCTTCTCTTACTCTCGCTTCCTCTTAACTGAGACCTGCTTAAACCCTAATTTCGTTTACTTGATTTTGTTTACTAACTGTTTTCTTTTATTTGATTTTTTTTTGTAGCTCTCAAGGACGAGGACCGAGCTGGCCTTATGAACGCTCTTAAGGTGAGTTTTGTTAATCAATCTAAAGAATATGAATGGTTTAGTGTTGTTATTAGTGATTTTAAGGGTTTCAGTGTTATCTTTGTGTTTCCGTTGAGATTGTTTATGAGTTTTTTTTTGTTTTTTGTATTATGTGAATCCACAGAACAAGCTTATGGCTGGTCGTTCTGAAGTTCTCGAGAGTCTGACTCCTCAAGTGAGAAACCGTGTTGAAGCCTTGAGGGAGATACAGGTTTGTGAAGTTTCTTTCATATTATTTTAATTGAATTTTGTAGATCTGTTCTTGGTTAAAGTTGTGAGATTGTGTGTAAAGTGTTTGCATATTGATATAACCTGTGACTTCTCGCAACGCAGGGCAAGCATGATGAGCTAGAGGCAAAGTTCCGTGAGGAGAGAGCTATTCTTGAAGCTAAGTATGAAAAGTTGTATCAGCCTTTGTATACCAAGGTAATTGTTTCTGACAAAGTTAGACTTAGTATATATATATTTATCTAACTTGGTATCTTGTAATACACAGCGTTATGAGATTGTGAATGGAATTACTGAAGTTGAGCCGACTTCAGAGGATACAAAGATGGACCAAGGAGAGGAAAAAACTGCAGAAGGTAACTTTAGGAACACTGTGTCGTCTTTTTAAAAAATATTCTGGAAGATAAAAAAAACAATTTAACATGTGTTCCAACGCAGAGAAAGGAGTTCCAAGTTTCTGGCTGAACGCTTTGAAAAACAATGATGTTACTTCCGAGGAGGTAAGCTTTATACAGTTTTGGTATTCATTTTGTTTGCAGCTTCAGTCATAACCATGGAATATGACTCTAGCGTAATTTTCTTCATGTCAGGTCACAGAGAATGATGAAGAGGCTCTCAAATATCTTAAGGATATTAAGTGGTGCAAGACTGAAGAGCCTAAAGGATTCAAACTTGAGTTTTTCTTTGACTCGAATCCCTTTTTTAAGAACACGGTCTTGACAAAGTCTTATCATATGATTGATGAAGATGAGCCACTGCTTGAGAAGGCTATAGGGTAACTTCTTATTCTCTTATACAAATGGTTTATAGATTTATGTATAATCTGTTCCTATCTGATTACAGTAAGCTGTATTTTCTTGTATTATTTCCCTCACTTCAGGACAGAAATTGATTGGTATCCTGGAAAGTGTCTAACTCAGAAGGTTGTTAAGAAGAAGCCTAAGAAGGGTTCAAACGCCAAACCAGTCACCAAAATGGAAGATTGTGAAAGCTTCTTCAACTTCTTTAATCCTCCAGAAGTCCCGGATGAAGACGAAGATATCGACGAGGACAGAGTATGATATCGATTACTTTAAATGTTTGTCATTTTTTGATTAACGTATATAGTAATGCCTCCCGTTCTTTGATACAGGCTGAGGAACTTCAAAATCTGATGGAACAAGATTATGACATTGGGTGCGTCCTTTTCTGAAAACACTTGTTCTTTTTGGGTTATAGATTTGCTTTTGAATGGTGGAACTACTTTATGAGTGGCTAACTTTTTTATTATCCTTCTTGCTTTCTGCAGATCTGCTATCCGGGAGAAGGTTATCCCTCATGCTGTCTCATGGTTTACTGGTGAGGCTATGGAAGCAGAGGAGTTTGATTTAGATGAGGAAGAGGACGATGATGACATTGATGAGGACGAAGATGAGGAAGAGGACGAAGATGAGGATGAGGATGAAGATGAAGATGAAGAAGATAGCAAGACTAAAAAGAAGGTATGGAGTCCTCCATTTATTATTTTTTATTCAATAGGTCTTGCCATATATGTGCTTACTAATGGTTTTGATATTAATTAATTTGTTTCTGCAGTCATCAAGCGGACAAAAGGTATGTAACTGGCATTTATAACTAGATCACACGTAGAATCACTCTCATGAGTAACGAGTCACTTTATACATTTCATGATTACAGTAGGAATACATGTGGTAATCATCAGCTTTGTTTCTTTTCGCAGAAGGGAGGGAGATCTCAGGTGGTTGGTGACGGTCAACAAGGCGAGAGGCCACCCGAATGCAAGCAACAGTAGTAATGTCTACGCTCTACTGAATGAAAAGCGTTGCGTCAAAAACATATCTTGGGTCATTCGCTGTTCATGAGGATGATCTCATAGGAGTTTTTATCATTTAATTTTTGGTTTTTTATTTTCTGAGAATCACTCAAGACTTCACCTTAGTGTTTATCAATCAATGAATTGTCCCCTTCTTTTGTTTCGTTTATCAATCACAGGTAACACAATTTATATCATCATTTTCAACGAAGATGAAATACATGTCCCAAACCTGAAAAAAGGTTAAAACCCAGTTCCTAAATACATGAACGCATTTTAAACACAATCGAGTCTTAAAGAATATGGCTTGTAATGTATTTATTGCACAAACTACGCTTCAGCCAATTGTTAAAACTTATCTTGACAGTGTAGACAGACATGTGTATTTCTAAGAAGATGCCCACCAAGAGGTTTCTTTCGTTGAAATTGCTGCTTGTCGCCCGCCTCCGGATTTGTCAATATCTGAAGAATGTAAAATTACTTCCTAATATGAAAATAAAAGAAACGTTTTGATTCTGTTTTAAGCATTCTAACTTTTGTTGACTGAAGAGAGTTATTCGGACCAAACTAGTTCAGACGAATAATTACCATTGAATTGTAATCTGAACGATTGTCATCTTTTTGTTTACCATTTTAAAAGTTTTTCAAACCTTGACCATTTAATATTGCAAGACTAAATAATGGATGATTTGACTATTATTACCAATTTTCAGTCAAGTCAAAATCTGTCAAAATCAATTCATCTAACCCGTCCATTAATCACGTACTAACACCTCAATTTCTAAAGTCCAATAAACGGAATACAACAAACGCAAGAAATGTGGTCCGCACGCATCGCAGCTTAATCTTATTTTCTTTTGCTCTTCTTCGGACATAAACAAACACACACTGCACTGTTTAGAGACCATCGAGTCATGCACAAGAGGGACCCACAAACAAGAACGAAAAAACCGCTTCATACAGAGCATTTCTTATTTATATAATTTTTAATGTCTTCGCTTAAAATCATTACCAAGAAATTTACGAGATGATCCATAGAGACCGTTTTGTTTACTTTTAGTTTTAACTTCTCTAATACGATTAATTTCGGCCTACTACTTATTGACGCCTTACACTGTACACAATTCTCTATTTGTTTTCTTGGATCTCGAGTTTAATTATTAGTATCAAATCCTCTTTTGATGGCCACCATCGCTAGACTCTCTGGTTCGTATGATATCAGCAACGAATATAGCTACATCACCACCGACTCCTCTATAGAGTTTCTAACACCGCCAGAAGTTTCCGCGCTTCAACTCCTCTCCACCTGCTTAGAATCAGTCTTCGACTCGCCGGAGACTTTCTACAGCGACGCAAAGCTTGTTCTCGCCGACGGTCAAGAAATATCCTTCCACCGCTGCGTTCTCTCCGCGAGGATACCCGTCTTCAAGAACGCGTTAGCATCCTCCGTGAAGTATCAAAAACCCACCGCCGTCGTCAGGCTCGAGCTGAAGGAGATCGCGAGAGATTACGACGTTGGATTCGACTCGGTGTTGACTGTTTTGGCTTACGTATACAGCGGTAGAGTAAGGCCGCCGCGGAAAGGAGCTTCTGATTGCGTTGACGATGGTTGCTGCCACGTGGCGTGCAGACCAGCTGTGGACTTCTTGATGGAGCTTCTTTACTTGGCTTACGTCTTCGAGATACCTGAGTTAGTTTCTTTATACGAGGTAATAAAAATAAAAAACACGTTCTTGTCTCAAACACACAAGTAATCTCATCTTAAGTCTCCTCTGTTTTGCTTTTTTTCAGAGGCAGTTTCTTGATATTGTAGACAAGATTGTTATAGAAGACATCTTAGTGATATTCAAGCTCGTTAACATCTGTGGCGAAACATACAAGAAGCTTTTAGATAGATGCGTAGAGATTATCGCCAAGTCTGATATAGAGATTATTACTCTCCACAAGTCTCTACACCTAGACATCGTAAAACGAATCACCGACATACGTAAAGAGCTTGGCCTCGAGCCACCGGAGCCAGATAAACATGTCATGAACATATACAAGGCCCTTGACTCCGACGATGTTGAGCTTGTCAAGATGCTTTTGACAGAAGGACACACGAGTCTAGACGACGCCTACGCTCTTCATTACGCTGTTGCTCATTGCGATGTGAAGACGGCTTCTGATTTCATAGACCTTGAGCTTGCGAACGTGGACCATAGAAACCCTAGAGGATACACGGCGCTTCACGTTGCTGCGATGAGGAACGAGCCGAAGCTGATGGTTTATTTGTTGACAAAAGGTGCAAATGCGTCGGAGACAACGTTTGATGGTAGAACTGCTCTTGTGATTGCGAAGCGGCTCACTAAAGCTTCTGAGTATAATACTAGTACGGAGCAAGGGAAGCCTTCTTTGAAAGGAGGGTTATGTATAGAGGTATTAGAGCATGCACGGAAACTAGGTAGGTTGCCTAGAGATGAACCACCTTCTCTTCCTTCTACTCCTGATGAACTGAGGATGAGGCTGCTATATCTTGAAAACAGAGGTATGTCTTCTTCCACCTCATATGTCAACTGTTGTGTGCTCTAATCAGATCCATCTTTCTGTTTTTTAGCATGTGTAAGTGAATCGGTAGAATGTGGCCTGTTCTTAAACTTCTTTAAATATATAATGCTAATATATAATTAGCATTCAAGTTTAAGATCTATAAATTCAAAAAAAAAAACGATTAATTTTGAAAACTATATCACTACTTTTCTAGTATACAGTTGATTCTTTTTTGTTAACAGTGGCATAGAAATAATTTGAGGCTGCCTAATGCTATAACTATACTTTTTGTCTACTTTTCAGTTGCACTGGCTCGGATCCTTTTTCCAGTGGAAGCGCAAGTGGTAATGGATATCGTCAAACTGGAGGGAACAAGGGAGTTCACAGCTTCTAGTCTCGAGCCTGATCATAACAGTGGTGTGAAGAGGACATCACTGGATTTAAACATGTCACCATTCGTAATCCGAGAGGAGCATTTGTCAAGACTAATAGCGCTTACTAACACCGGTATGTATTGATTATTTTTTTTTACTTTTCTCACCGTCAAAGAAGAGTTCAAAGAAAACTAATTGATGTCAACTTATATCATCAGTGAAGCTAGGGAAACGATACTTCCCACGCTGCTCTCTCGATCACTTTATGGACACCGAGGACTTGAACCATCTAGCTTGTGTAGAAGAGGACACCCCAGAGAAACGACTACAGAAGAAGCAAAGGTACATGGAATTACAAGAGACTCTGATGCAGACCTTTAGTGAGGAAAATGAGGACTCCGGAAAGTCTTCCAAAACAAAATCAGTGAGGTCCAATAGTAAGCTCTCTCATCGGCGTCTAAGAGTGAACAAACGGGATTTAGAGAAAAGACATTGCGGAAACAGGAAGGGTGATTCAAGAATAGAAAAGCGTGTCACATTTCAAGCCCGCAACTAAAACTATGGTAAATTTTTCCCACACTTAGGTCTTTTGTAAGACCTTCGGGTAAGTTTTGTTGTATATATGTTTTATTATGTGTTATTTGTGTTTCTCATCTGCGTCCATATGAGTTTTGACACTTGGCATCCTGTGGATTAGAGTATACTAGGTGCAAGCGTATTTTAAACAAATATTGGTAGTTTGTTAACCAGTGATATGATAATATGTATATTTTTATATATTGTTTTCGTAATACATGAGACTTACGCGATCTAGATGGTTATATATTAAACATACCTACCGTTCAAATTATTATATGATGTCTTTGAGTTTGTCACGCATCAAAATAGTTTATCTTTATTGTGACTTCACCACCTTTTGGCACTATCAGTATTGTATGAGTTCATTACTGATTCGACTTTGTAACAACAGACCAGTTGTTCTATATATGTTCGTGGGTCCATATGTCTCTGCCTACTCTTGTCTCGTGGTAACTATCACTGTCCAATGAGAACCGTCTCTTAGAGGTATGGTGGAGTATCATGGAAACACTGGAGTACTCAGAACACACTCACTCATTCTCGTATGCAAAATCCAGTCCGTTTAGGGCCTGAGGCCAAGGCTTTTGATATGTAGATTCACACTAATCAACTAAGTGGAGATAAGATGAAAGAGTTATGAAGTGGAACTTAAATATGTGAGATATTCCTTCCATATTTGCTCATATACAATTGTAAAATATCTCTATGAAAATATCTGCGACGACCTTGACCCGTGAAACATTTACAGCCACACCTCAAATGTATATTTATTAATTTCTTGCTTTAAGCAAACTTCATGATGTAGCTGAAGACTTTGTTTTTTGTTTGAAACACGACTTATTGGTTTTCTTTTGTCACAACACAAAAGAAGATTTGATCAGCTTCTTCCGTTGGTACTTATCCAGTCACTAGATATTTTTTTCGGGATGATTAGTACCTCAGCTTATACATGTTTGTTGATCACACGCATGTGTATGAGAGTGAGAACCGTCATTGTCATTAGTGGTTCAATAAATAGTAAACTGATAACAACTACATACCCTACGGAAATCTTGAATAGAAAATGTTCAGATTTGTATGCAGTAACCAACATAAATGATATGATAATGTATGAAAGAGAGTAACAGATAAGCTAATATACCCATTTGAGTCAAACACAAATACTCCTCCATTTTCTAATAATATGATGTTTTAGAAAGTTTTTGGTACTTTAAAATATAAAATATTCGATCCTTCTATGCTAATTTTAATTTTATCAAAAAATATTCCAGCAATCATATTTTACAGTACTTATTATTGACTAAATTATTTTAGTTTTACATTTTCAATAATACTTTCAAATTTTCATTTTTGCATTTTTGTATATATTATGAAATTCTGAAAATAGTATTCAATCAAAATTTTTACTAGTATGTTTTAAAGGCTAAATTGCTACATTGTTACAAAACATTTTGAAGAGGGTATTTAATAACTCAATGAATGTTTTGATTAAAGCATTAGAAAATTATAATATAAGAACCTTTTAACGTAAAAGTAGTAGCAGAAACTACTTTGGCCGACTAAAGACGTAAAAGTAAAAAGAAAAGTGCAGTAGAACCCAAACGTCCAGATCTAGAAATTACGAACACGACATAACTAGTTTGTCAGCACTTATCACCAAATCTAATGACAAGTAATATGCTGCTAAATGACCAAAACGCCCTTCAAACAAGGGTATTTCTGTTTTTTAACCAAGTAGACCCCACAAGAGACCCCATTCCGACAAAGGGTAAAACCGTAAAACTAGTTGTTCTTGAGCATCTCTCGGTACCTGAGAAACGAATCCAGCCTCTGTAGTTTCAGCTGCTGCTTAAACTTGTTGATGAAGTCTGATGCTTTGTCGTCCACACCTTCCTCTCCTTCGTCGATCGACGTCGTTCTCTCGACCCTCGTCGTCTCCGGCCGCCTCTTCTCCACCGCCTCAACCGTCTCCTCCTCCCGGCCAATGTGCCCGACGCTGACTTTCTCGCTAGCGGATTTCGTCATCTTCTTCACCGCCTTCTTCTTCTTGCTCTTCGTCGCCGGCTTACACGGCTCCGACTTCGTCCTCTCCGGCGGTTTCTCCTCGGAGCTCTGTTCTGGCTCGGATCTGTACAGTGAAGGGAGCTTGATGGACTTCACACGCTGCAAGAGAGACGGAGGTTGTGTCGGAACGTCATCTTCTCGGATCTTGTCTTTCGGGTCGACCCGGTTCGGATCCTCGGGTGGGGTCGTGAGTGCGTAAGCAGCGTAGTCTCCTTCTGAATTGTGTTGTGGGAACTTGAAGGAAGGCATGTTGAAGGATCTGACCCGTTGAAAGAGAGACGGAGCCGGGTTCGGGTTAGGATCCGACCCGTGGAAGTGGATCTCGGATTCATGGGAAGGAGAGTTGTAGAGACTGAAGTTGATGGACTTAACTCTTTCTACGAACGAGGGAGGTCTGCCTAACCGCGCCGGATAATGGTTAGGACCTGAACCGAACCCATCTTGATGCGGTTGGTGTTTCTTAGAACCGGAACCGAGCCTGTTGGTGAAGAAAATGGTGCCGATGGTGAAATTGAGGAGGAGGAAGAGAGTCGTCGGCGTTAACCAGCTGGCTAGAGTTGTGACGAGCTCCATAGTTGTGTGTGTGTGTGTGTGTCGCAGAGTGAGCGATGAACTAATGGATAGTAATATTTATATTAGATATTTTTGGTTTGGTTAAAGCATTAATGTGCTCTACGTAAGATTTATTTATTTTTCATTTTTATTGACTTTTCGGTGTGGGTCTTTTTTTTACCCAACTTCTGTGAGCTGGTTCAGTTAATTTGACAGTGTATTTATTGAAATTGGCATATAGTAGTATGATTTAGTAGTATGTTCCATTTTTAATTGACTTTTCGGTATGGGTCTTTTTTTACCCATTTATTTAACAGCTGGCTCAGTTAATTTGACAGTGTAATTACTGAAATTGACATATATCATTTACTATAATGTTTTCCATTTTTATTCCAGGCATCGTGCCTAAACTTACAAAATGCAATTTCTTGTCTATATAGCTTAGCTCATAAATTCAAGATTTTTACTCAAATTGTGTTATCTTTCCTCTCTCCAATCCAACAGTATAATTAACTGCATTTTAGTGTGATTCTATTCTTTGGTACATTGTTACGCTATATTTGATGCAGTATTGGGATGATAAAAGAATTATATCAAAATTATTTATTTATGTATTGTTTAACTATATTGATATTTGCTTTGTATGATTAGTTTACTATTGAATTAACCATTTTTAATATATCACTACTGTTAAACTGTCCCTTTCATGTGTGGTGGATTTGTAGTAATGTTCCTTACAAAAAGTTGAAAACATATCTATATATGAATGGGTGGTACCACCTCTGGAATCCAGTGAGCTTTCTATATGTAACAGAAGTTCTAAATTTGGCATTAGAAGAACCCTTTTGTGTAAAAACATTACGAAGGACATTAATCTACACGTACGTAACTTTGGTGATAGATGGCACTACTGATCAAGTTATCAAATACCAAATTTAAAACATTAAATGTAGCTGACGTTTAGTAAATTATTACTAGAATCTACTTTTGTCAATATTAATTAGTGGGTTCACATGAGCCACACATGACACATGGACTCTGTGATACAAATATTCTTCTTCCTTCGTATTTCGTTTTCTATTACAAATTGGTCGCATTCCCATTGCATAAACAACAAAATACTATGTTACAAAATTAAATGTCTGTTGCCAACTAGCCATCTTCATAGCAGATTGCAGTAGTATATTATTGCTAATTGTGGCAGTGTAATCTATCATATCCTTTCAGGTCATTTAGGTTAGTGACCAAATCTGAGAGAAAAAAGGCAAATGATAATAAGACAAAAATAAACAAGTAAATATAAAATTATTAATACTTAATAACTTCAATTTTATTATTTGCAGCATAAATATTGATAGGCTTCTCAAAATCTTTAGATACTCTAATATCTTAAGTGGATAGCTGTTATGTAGATATTTCAAGAGTGCCGTTAAGATTTATACTATAGATTCTTTAAAATATTTTTTCAGAACCATAGTATGTGCTGGAAAAAAAGAGAAAAAAAAGAAATAGACACAAAAGAGGAAAGGACAAACAAAAAAAAGTGAAGAAACAGAAGCCTCATGTCTTACAAAGAAAAGAAAATACTTTTCTTTGTCTTTCTACACAACAATGCAGCTAGTGGAAGAGCGGATTGGATCGTCATGCTTTTTCCATAAAATTAACATTGAGATTAAAGAAAAGGATTACGACATGGCAAACAACACACACAAACAACTTGAGGCATTACTTGTCCGGGTTGTCAAACGATTAGACAAATACCATAACTCGTTTTAGTCGTATAGTAGTAACTTATTTTGATATGAAGATGGAGTTCAAAGAAAAAAAACTTGCTGATATGAAACATGACTGAAGAGGCAAAGGACTGAACGTTCAGTAAGAAAATGACTGGAATGTGAACAAGAAAACACAAGATTTTGTGTTGACCTGCTGATATCTTCTTAAAAGTGACCAAGGACCGTTTAACCTCATTGGTAATTACTATCTAGAAAAGTTATAAGCTTTGTAAAATGTTCTTTATACATTTTGTATTATATGAATAGGCACATGATATGAGCCAATATAATAATTTCCAGTATATAATATGTACATTCAATCTGCATTACTCAGAAGCTATTTTCTTGGATGTTCTTCGTACAAGAGAGATCCCATTGGGGTCACCACCCCACTCCTCAAGTACAACTATAAGGTTCCCAGACGGCTTCAGCCACGAACGAGGCACATGGTACCTAAAATCAATAGAACCGCAAAAAATGAAGATTAGTTTTGGCCTAAAGAAAAAAAGATTAAGTAGTTTCTTCACTCACCATCTTTGAGAAGCTTCTCCACAGTTACTCAAACATTTTTTCTCTGTGAATGTTCCAACATAGCTGCAGCGGTCGCATTTCCCACGTGCTTTATAAGCAGGCCAATGACGTCCAATGTTCTGACCATTTATCCAAACTTGGCCTTTCCCCATTGTGTTCATGTCCAAAGCCAATGGTTCATTTCCTGCTGGTGTGTCAAAAGTAGACTGCAAAAAAAAGAGGTGGTAAGAATCTCTACTATTAATCTAGCTTTGTTGGTAAGCAAGATCTATTTGTTTCTCTTACCTTGTACCAGGTCAAGGGTTGTTTATTGGCCACCAATGATCCTTCTTTCCATTCCACAGTGGAACTCCCGGTTACAGTATGAATGCTCAGAGCTTCACCGTTGGTACCAATCTGCTTGTATCACACAAAGAAAAACAATGTTATGATTGTTGGTAAGATGCAGAAGCATCAAAGTCAAGTTGTTTGCTAGGACCTTGTAAGACCATTTCCACTTAGACATGTCCCATGTTCCAGAGTTAACTCCCTCCAGTGTGATTGGACCAAGAACCCCAGTATTCCTAGTCTCATAATGCAAGCCAACATTCTGTGAACAATAAAGGAAGGGATGATCATTTTTTATGGACAGATAGAGCAGAGAGGAACTACATAAGTTATCAAGAGAACTAACCGGGAGACCCACTGCTATACTCAACAGGGCAAGTTTGTTGACTCCTGCAGCTAACTTGATCTTTTGACTAAATGTTAGCTTTGGGTTCGCCAGTGATCCATAAGCAGTTCCTGAAACATAATTTTTCTTTAACAGAAGACAAAGACAAGCTATCATGAGGATGTCTTTGGCCTATCTGAATCTTACCTGCAAGCTGACCATTAACGAATACACTAAGAGCATGCCCAGCTGACTCAATAGTAAGAAGAGGGTCTTCACCAGTCTTCAAGAAGTTCTCATCAGCACCAATCGTAATGCTGAATATATCAGCAAGAAAAACCAGACATGAGTTCCTCTCTATAGAGTTAGTAAGATAGTCAAGAGTTTTCAAGTATTACTCACTCTGTTAGATACCAAAAATAGTCAGTCTTATCTTTGGTGATGCTTATCTGTTCCACAAGCCCATCTTTAGCAAATGTACCATTATAATTTGGAGAAGGAATCTCTTCGTTGTATGATCCCCATGATAATTGTGTGTTTGTTGGAACCATCTTCATGTGTATACTTCGTGCACGTACCTGTACCTTGTAACACAAGTCATTCGCAGTGAACTAAACAAGGTAACGTGATTGATAAGCTTTGAATGTTGATTTACCTTTGCAGTGTTGTAATACTCGGTTTTGCAGTTTGGTAGAATACTGACAGACCAAGGAGGTAGATCATATGTAGATCCCCCGAAGGAGACTCTTGCAGCAGAGCTAGTGTTGTAGTTTGACAGAAACGCAGCGCATGATGACTTGGATTTGAACATATGAGCCTGAAAAATAAAACAAAACCAAAGGTAAATAAACTTTGAAGCTTTGTTTCTCTTCTCTTCTCATGTGTATTGCATTCATTACTTCTTGTTTATCGCCGAGTGATGTGACTGTAGGATCAACAGAGACTAATGCTGGCTCACAGAGCTTTATGACCTTATGTAACTTCGTCAAGTGACTATACTTAGGTTCTCTCGGTAACCCTTTTGAACACATAACCCAAAAAAAGCGTTGGAAAATATTCGAGATCATTAATTAACATTGTGTGTGTTTTCAGGTGATGAGAGTTAAAATTACCATATTCATCAAGGGGAGCGTCGTAGTCGTAGCTAGTAGCCATGAACTCCCCGGCTGTTCTGTCGAAGTTAGTTCCTCCATGGTACTGTTTAACAACATCTCCTTAAACATTAGTTAATCAAATCTTTCTACTTTGGTTATCTCAAGAATAAAGAATAAGAAGTTACCATATAGTAATTAACGAAGGAGCCCCCGTTCTGTATGAAGCGAGCCACAGAGAAGGCAATGTCTTCGGCTGGTCTGTATGGTACCGCACCTCCAAACTCCGTGAACCTGTTTAAATTATTTTCATATTCACACATAAATTTTACTTTTTGTGAAAAAATATTTGGATTTTTAATTTTAGATATTTATGAAAAAAATGATATTTGGTCTAGACGTTGTTAGGTTGTGTGACTTACCAACCAGTCCAGTTCTCTGTCCACATCTTCGGCTTATTGTCCGCATTTGGTTTGAAATTCTCACAATAATATCCATTGCATGTGTTTATCTACTCAGCAAACACAGGAAACGAACTAGTGGTGAATAAATGTAACAATTTGAGAAAGATAGTAGTAACATAAAAAAATAATTAAAGGAAATATGATTGGAGTTATAGAATACAAACAGAAAAAGAAATTCAATAATTCAAACATATAAATAAACAAACATCTTCTTTTGCTAAAAAGAAAAGATATACCAATAATGGGAGGTATGTGTATTATTAAGAGGAAAAATAAGACAAGACAAGAAAATGTAGCTATATATTTTTTTTTTTCTAAACGAAACTTCAGCTTTGCTTACCAAATACAACTTTACAAAAAGGAAATGCTAAACAGACTTGTTATTTTGCTGAAATGATACACGAATGATTAGGTATAATGTAATATAAAAAGAAAATATTTAGGAGAACATGACAACATAATACATGAGTTATATTCTTTCTTTCTTACTTTTAAAAAAGTTATAAAAATTTCTTATATAAAAAGATAAACAAACAAATATGTAATAAGGGAAGGGAGGAAAATAGAGAAGAAAACATACAATGGAGTCAGGAGCATCATCTTGCTTGCACATAACCCATGGGACACCTGTGGAGAGTCCTTCTGCCATTTGAGCTGCCCATTTTGTGTATGCCTTTCCTGGTGCTCCTATCTCCCACTCTAT